TAATTCCAGCTTAAGCTAGCTAGATAAAATCTCTCTTTCTATTATAATTTACCTTTGTAAGGGTTTAGCCCCAAAGGGGCTAAAGCGGCAGCTAGCGCTATGACCTTTCTGCTTGGTAGCAGTTCCCTCTGCCGCTGAGGCAAAAGGGAAAGTAATAACTTAACTGCGGGTTAAGTTATTGTTGGATCCGATACGGATAAGTTAATTAGGGCAATAATGATCAAGACGATAGTGGAGCCTAAAGATGATAATATTGATGATCATGCTTGTAGGATCTAACCTGCTTCCAGGGCCCTGTTTCCGGTGAGGGGTTTTTGGTCAATCTCACACCCCCCTCATGACTAAGACAAGATATTGATGTATCAGGGATTCGGTCTTATCCGGGCCCCTAGTCCGGCACCCGAGGGTCAGTCCAACAGTTATCTAGCTGCACCTATCTGCTGGACCCAGGACCCGGCACCGCCGGGTCCACTACCCCAGGCTCTCAGCCTATGATAACCTTAAGCTTCTATAGTAACTAAAATAGGCCTGCTGCTTTATCTTAATAAAATCTTATCTTTTAACTCTTCTATTATAACTCTCTCTTTTCCAGATCTAATTAGACTTAGCAGAATACTATATATAGCTTTTAATCTATCTTCCTTAAATTATTAAGAACCTTATTATATTATAGCTAATACCAGTTATTTAATATTTTATTATAGTACTATAGAATAGTACTAGATAAGTTATATTTAGTAGGATAACCTAATCTACCCAATTTTATATAAAGGATATAAGTTACTATCTAAGCTAGCTAACTTTTCTAGGGGATCTAGTTCTAGTTACAGCCTAGTTATTAGATAGAGCTCTTAGCTAGAATTAAATTAATAATCTTTAAAAAGATAACTTTAGCAGTTAACTACTTTACTATAAGAGTAGATTTATAGTATAGTAAATTAATAGAATAAATCTATAGTAATAAGACTTTAATATAACTATAATATCTTATTTATTATAATATAATATAAGACTATAGCTATTATATTTTATATAATAAATTATACTATTAAGGTCGAGGATTTAATATAGAAATAAATAACTATAGTAGCAAATTTACTTTCTATCTTAAATAAGTTAGCTACTAAAAGGCAGTTAAATAAAAATTAACTAAAATTAAAATAAAATATAATAATTCTTAATAAGAGTTATAAACTAAATCTTTATAAAGTAGGTATTATTACAGGTTAAAGTTATTACTTATCTATTAGGCTATCTAATAGAATTTATAAGTAACTATACCTAGATATTTCTAAATATATTATTATTCTACTAGTATATCTTCTAATACTAGCGCTACCTACAATATAAAAGCAGTATAAAAATAGCAGATAATTTAGTTAAGAAGGCAGTACTTCTAGAAGAGGCTAAAGAAAGAATTTTATTTATATAGGTATACCTATATTATAGCAGGCTTTTATAGAGGCTATTATTATATAACTATATATTAATAGTTAAATTAAAGTAAAAGAATAAAGATATAGGTATTTAAAAAGAGGTATAATTTAATAAATTCTAGCTTTTATTATAAATATAGATATAGATATTATAAAAACCCAGTAACTATATTATTATCTATTTTAATAGTTACTTAAGTATAGATTTTAATAATAAAAATAAGATTTACTATAAGAAATATATAATAAATATATAAATAGCTTAATATATTTTCTTAAATATTAATAGCATTTTAATAAAATAGCAGTTTAGTATCTTATAATATTTATTTTATAGAAGTTATTTTTATATAAGAGATTAGGAAATATTAATATTATTTAAAAAAGATAAAAGTAAATATTACTATAATAGATATTATTTATTATAAATAATATCTAATTACTCTACTAGTTAGCTAAAGAGATAAAGTATAATACTAGATAGTAGGCTGTCTAATCTAGAAATAGAAAACTCAGTATTAATATAATCAGATTAAAGTTAGATATAAAAAGCAGTTATAAGAAATCTAAGGTAGTATACTACTCAAATAATATCAGTATTATAATATAATTACTAGATATATTAAAATAAGTAATAATAAAAAAAGAGATTACAACTAAATCTATTAAGATTATAATAATTATATAATAGCTAAGTTAGTTCTAGCAGTTAGCTTTATATTTTATAAATAAACTGTATAGTATAATTATTTCTAAAAAAGAGCTAAAGATATTAAGTACTCTAGAAGAGCTATTTCTAAAGCTCTTATTAAAGTAAAAGTAAGTTAGGTTTATTAAGTTATAGTAAATAAGTATTTTTAAAAAGAAAGAGAAGATAATTTAAAAAATATAAAATTAATTTAATAATAATATAACTAACTATAGCTTAGCTATATATAATATATTAAATAGCTTTAAAAAGTATAATATCTATCTTATAGCTGTAAACTTAAAGACTTTAAGCTTTTATATAAATCTATCTATAAGTATCCAGTTTAGCCTATTACTATTATTCTCTAAGATAAAAAAGCAGCTAGCTTAGTTATCTATACTTAATTAAAAATAGAATATTATCCTCTAGCTAATATATTACTAACTAAATTATATTTACTATAATAAGAGTAGAATCTCTTAACTTTACTAATTTATTAAAAATAAAAATAATATTAGAAAGTTATATATTATTACTACTATTACTAAGCTATTTATAAATAAGAGAATATTATATTATATACTAGTAATAGTAACTTTAGAAACTGCTACTATAAATATTAATAAAATTACTATTTATTTTACCTATAAATTCTTAAAAAATATAGCTTTATAGAAAGATTAGAATATAAATATTAATAAGTTTATAAAGCTTAACTTAATAAGTCTCTAAGTTAATAAAAGAAATATAATAAAGTAGCAGGAAAAATAGTTACTAATTATTAATAAGATAAGTATACTTAGTATACAGACTCTATATATTATAAATAAATAACTCTATAAGCTTTAAGAGTATACTTATAACTTTAGTAAAATTCCTATTATTCTTTTCTATAAAAACTTCTATTAATTCTACCTTATATAAAAGAGGTTAATCTTTCTTTTAAATATAGCTATTTTATAAAATATACAGATATCTTAGCTAGTCAGCCCGAAGCTATATCAGATTACACATATAAGGTTAGATTAATCTGAGGCTTATATCTCCTAATAGGAAAGTATCTTATAAGATAGAATATTAAGTTAGTTGCAGGGAAGTTCGCTGGCAAGGCATCAATAGGGCCTGCGGCAGCCCGATATCTGAGGGAGGTTAAAGACGGAGGTTAGACAGGGAATATAGTAATAGCAAGAAGGTTCAAATAAATCTCTTAAAAATAAAGGTAATTAATTAATAGACTTTCTAACAGCCTCGAGCCCTTCCGGCCTCTCTGACTTCCAGGAAGAATCTCTGATAAAAGAAAAGATGATAATTTTTCCCTAATAACAGTACTAACCTCCTCTTTTAACTCTATTTAAGTTACTCTAGAGATATTCCTGCTAGCGACTAGCTAGCCTAAGTGTTTTTAACTGCCTGTTATACTCTATAGAATAAGTTTATTATAGTTATTATATTATATAAGTAAGTTTATACTGCAGGAGATTTATAATTTTAGCAGATATTAAAGTAGATTAGATAAGATATATAAGACTAGTTTAATATAGATTTCTTAAATTATATATACTATAAGAAGAATAGATAGATTTTATAAAAGTTAGATATTACTATAATAATACTACTAAATAAAAACTACTAGAATCTAAATATTAATATAATATTTATTTTTTAAAAGTAATAATAAAGCTAAATTTAAATTTTTATTTTTAAATATAAGTAGAAAACTAGCCAGCTAATAAAAAAGAAAGCTATTATAATACTAAGCTATAAAAATAATAATAATATACTAATACAAGCTATTTTTATTTTTATTCTAAATATATTTATTATTATAAATAAAAATACCTACTAAAACTTAAAGCTAATTAATAAAGCTAGATATACTACTATAGATATTATTTTTAATAAGATATACCCAGGCAACTAAATTAATATAAAAATTATACTCTACTTTAGCCTACTAGTAGAAATTATACTATTATTAAAAATAATAAGAGATTTTTACTTTATAAATATACCAGCTAATATCCTTCTTCTAATATCTATAAATATTAAAATAAATTATTAAAGAAAGTATTTATAATAAAAGTATAATATCAGCTAGTAGAGGTTACTATATATAGCAGCTTTTACCTATATAAATTATAAGATATAAAGTAAGATATTAGACTAAGTAGTATTTTAAATTTAAAAGATAAAAATACTAAAGATTAATAAGAAGGTAGTTCTAACATAATACAACCCTTATAGCTTATATATACAGCTATTACAGTATCGGATACTAGATAGTATTATACTCCTATCTAAGACATAACAGAGGGACTTTATAGATAATTAAATATCCGATAATATAGTCGCTACTAAAAAGAGGCTAGAAAAGCTAAGTGAAGTCACTATTAGAGAAGCGGATTATTGGGATTAAGGGGTAATAAATTAAGGTCGAGGGAGAAGAGGAAGAAGAGATATTAATATACAGGCTGTATTAAAAGTAATATTTTAGATTCCGATGCGGGGCTTATGTAGTATAGAATAATACGAAACCAACGCGGGACCACGCTCAAATTTACGTAACCTAGAAGTCAAGGGTGAAAAAAAAGGCGGGGGCATAGAACCTTTCGTCACTTCGCTTCGCTTCGTTCCTCAAGGCATTAGGTAGGTCATAGCATCGTCCCTATGATTCCTACCAACTACCTACCTTGCCTACCTAGCCAGGAGCCAATGCTAGTGGGCATGGGAGCAGTAGCACTCAACATCTTCCTACGGAGTGGCGAGTCCCATCAACAGACCAGACTCAGGGAGACAGGTGACAGACGGCCGATTGCTGGGTACTCAACAGCTACATTATCCTCCACCCGAGCCACTCGCTTCCTTCTTCCAACATGGGGCTCTCTTCCGAGGCAAAATTCGTCCTCCAGCACGTCGCCGAGGTGGACCGTACCGGCCACAGCGTTGTATACGTCAACAAGACGGACCCGCAGCAGGCGGTGAAGGCCGAAGCCATCTGGATCGAGGGCAAGCCATACGGCCCGGCGTCGCAGCCCGAAAACATCTGGGAACGCCGTCTGGCGGTGCGGGAGAAACGGGTGGGTTGCTGCAGACCTCAGCCCGATTCGAGGGCGATTCCAACCGCGCTTGATGGATAAAGATGGCAGTCCCCCTCCCCCCCCTCCCCGAGGCGAGAGATGTTCCTCATCCTCTTATCCTTGCTCTACCACCTTCTTTTCAACGATATGTCAGCTCGGCCAGTCATCGGACTCGTCCAGTCTGCACGATGATGACAGCGTATCTGATGCTAACGGGACCAGCTGTCAGGCGTGCGCACCGACCCCAACGATGCTTCAGATGCTAATTCCGATGCCGAGGATGCCTGTCCTCCGGGGTGAATGATTGGCCTCCCGAATTCTTCCTTCAGATGCAAGGTAATCAACGCCGCCATCATTTCTGTTCTGACTATGTAAAGAACCCGAAGGAGCGAAGTCCCAGGTGCTTTCTCTGCGTCGGAAAAGCCACTGCCCTCGGATCTTGCAACCCGAATATCGAACGTCTCATTAAAGCCTTCTACTCCGCCGGCGATTTAAGCAAGTATTTTAAATGGCATCAACTCTCCAATATTCAAGGAGACGAAAAGTTGCATTGCCGTCTGCGCGATCTTCCTTGAGTCCACAAAATGCATTTACAAAACCACGCTGAGACGGTCTATGGAATCGTATCAAGAGGAGGATAGACCAGGGCAAGACCGGGGCCGCTGGTGTTGGGGGGTTGAGCTTTGCCTGTGGACAGCGGCCTTGACGTAACATTGCTGAACACGACGCTGTTGACCAGCTGGTATGGAGTTGGCGTATTCAGTGTGTTGGTCGCTAGACAAGACATTTATCCTATTTGCCCAGACCGGAGGGGTACACGATCTGTTGATCATCCAGAATGCGACGCAATCCTTTCCGCCCGTAGAAGGGTTCGGCAGTGGAGGCTCACTTGACCCATCCATTTTCTGCGACGTAATATAGAGATTAATACCTTGGCGTTCTCAAATTCAAGCACGTCGCCAGCGTTCTTGTATGAAACATGTGTCGCACCTTCAGAACAACTCCACGCTTCACCAATTGTCCCGAGAGCTGTACGCTAGTCGAAGATGCTCTCATCACAACTGACTGTCAATCCGCTCAAGCTGCCCTTGGAATTGTGGCATACAATTCAGTTAAAGAATGGACGGCCTGTTCCGCTGTCTCTATTGTCCCGTCCCAGCAGCCCCGAATCACTGCCCCACAGGCCAGGCGAGATACATCGGGAAAAACTGCTTCCCTAAACAGCTTCTCTACTTCATCCTCTGATAGGTCAGCATAGGGCTCCTCTCCGACCATGATAAAGTAAATGACCGAGCCGAGGGCGAAGATATCGTCAGTCTTTTCCACTGCGCGGTGCCAGCTCCAGCCAGGGGGGAGAAATCTCGGTCCGGCCGCGACAGTAGGATTGAGCCGGCAACCGAACTGCCAGCGAAGTCGGCAATGTGAAGATCGAGGGTCGCGTTTAGTATAAAGTTACGCGGCGTGACGTCGCAGTGGATAATTTCTGCTGCGTGGAGTGCTCTCAGCGCCGCTGCTGCCTGTAGGGTCCAACGCTGTCGAATCTCATCGGGGATCAGTACCGTCTCTTTCGCGTACATCGCGAGGTCTCCTTTCTCGAGGTACTCTAGCGTTAAGCAGCAAGTCTCGGGGTCCCAGTTGATTAACCCAGGAATATACGGGCAGTCCCCAATTCTTTGGTAGACCTCAGCCTCTATCCTCATATTCCTGCGATGGTCTTCCTCTTCCTTGGGCGAGTATGGGTTTGACCTTGAGTATTTCACGACATGGCCCGATGGGAGCCGCTCAACATGCGCTGTTGCCCCGTGGCCGACCTGCTTCCCTTTTGTGATGTGGTAGATGGCACCATGTGGTACATTTTCAGGAATCTGGAACACGGAGTCGGGCCAGTTAGGATGTTCCCTTCGTTGCCAGGACCCCGGGATGGGCCAGTATTTGATACGACGGGGATGTGATAGAGACATCTGCTAGAACTCAATCAGTACATGTCAATAAATCGGAAGCGGTCTCATACAGTATCTTTCTCGACTTTTGTCTCAACTAACGGCATCGGGTGTCTGCCGAGGAGTCTCCAGACAAAATTCCGCAGGCCCGCACCTTGTGTGGTAGCGAATTGCCACACTGCGGCCAGAAATGGCGAGTGCGGGAGGTATCTGACGATGAACATTAGGTGGGGTGCGGAACTCATTGAGCACTCTCCAAGGCTGCGATTACTTTAGAATGTACGTTTTCTGTCACACTGGCGTATCATGCCCAGCAATGGTGATAGCTAAGGTATGTTTCGTGAAGTTTTGTCTGAGCTCCTGTCAGGCGACCAGAAGCACTCTCTTTGCGGGCCTCAACGAAGCTGTACCCCGCATCCATCCCGCTTACCCTACAGTCATTCCATTGTTAAAAGCTCCCCAGCGATGATGCACCTACACCCTGGATATGCTCAAAGTAATGACATATGCGTTCGTCGAAGTGGAGAGCGAGGTGTTTGTGGATGTTGCTCAGCTGGAGGCCTTCAATCACGCCCGGAAATTTGAGCAGTTGACCGAGTACGCCGACGATGTTATGCCTCTTCAATAACATCTTCAGGCTTAGTTGTACTGGCCCGCTTCGACGATTTTGGCGCTCTTTCACGCGGCCGCCGTCTTTCTTCCGCATGTAATTCCTCACCATCTTATAGACCTCTGCGCCAGAATAGCGAGTTTCGTGGGAAGTCGACTCGAGGTCATCGTAGGTAGGTAATGATGCCCCGCACATGGTTGCTTTGGTTTGCCGGTTCGCAATGCGCTTACAGTGCTTTGCAAGACGCGCCACTACATCAGGGTCGACTCGTCTACCTTCTCCATATGGTAGCAGTGCGCTGACGGGGCAGCGAATGATCCCAACAAATTGCATTTTGCGCTTGGTAAGAATGGGTAGTCTGGATGGAATACCTCGATATTTAAATTTATTTTAAATCTGCTCCTGTAGTAGAGCGGGTGGCATGTGTCTCTGACCTTCGATTGGCGGTAGGGGTGGGAGGAGTTAGAGTAGTAACCGGGAATAGGAAACAGAAACCAGAAGTTGTATGCCCTGGGCCAGGATTCAAATATCATAGAATCCCAGGCGAGTGCAATAATAAGTATCACACTTAACTTCACCATGTCGGTCCCTAATTGGATTTAATTGGGTTTTGGTGGCTCAAGATGTATTGACCCATTCTTGTTGAACACCGCCAGTCTCACGAGATCTTTGATTGCCAGACTTTCAGGCCGAAGATGGTGCTTGCAATCGGAGGGCCTTAAAAAACATCGTTTTTTCAAGAGCCTCAGCGCTGTAGATAATGTGAAGGGCGATGGATGGCGTTACCTCTCGGCCGACACCGTTTTCAACCTTCATCATCGACTGCAAATTACACAACCTCAAGGCGCTGTAGGTAAGGTGGGCATCATAAATTAGAAATCGCAAGTCTATATTTATAGGGCTGCAGCCTCTATATTTATAGAGCCCTACTTACTACAGCCCACTATAATATAGAAGCTACAGCCTGTAGGGAGGCTGGCTAGCGAAGATACGGCTTACAGACTCTGCCCACTATAGCCCACTAGAAATATCTTATATTATAGTGGGCTATAGTGGATAGAGCCCTATAACTATAGAGGCTAGAGCCCTATAACTATAGAGGCTGCAACTTGTAATTTCCCGATGTGCGATTTTGCGATTTTTATTATGCCACCATCCGTGGTCGGATAAGAGTACAGCCGAAACCGCCAATTAATTCCTCGTTTTGCAGCGCGTCTCCACGTCACCATTTCATAGTATCGCGTAGGCTGCAAATAACAATACCAGACCTGGAAGATGCCTTCTAAAGGGAACGCCCGGATGATGAGGGACCAAATTGTCCAAGCTCATGTTCATAAGAAACGCGACGAATTTATCGCAAGCATCAACGAGGACGACGTTTTGGCCCTCGCCAAGTCCCATCATAAAGGAGACAACTGCCGCTTTTTCAAAGATCCAGCTCGTGGGAGCTACAACATCTGCTTCTTCATCGAGTTTGATCCACCTGCAGATCAGACCGAAAGTGAAAATTCAGATCGGGAGAGATGGGTGGTGCGCATACCGCTGACACCATGTCTCGCCTTTGGCGGACGTAGCAAGCTGGAAAACGAGGTGGCTACGATGCGGCAAGTTTGAGTCGAGTGCATGTTGGTTATTGATTGCTAATGGGGCCAAAAGCTATATCGCCGACAAGACGGACATTCCAATCCCAAAGATTCATGCTTACGCCATCGGAGATGACTTGGATCCTCTATCTTCGTTCATCCTCCTTGAATACATTAGCGGCGAGCAGCTTTCCTGGGCCCAGCTAAAATCCCTGTCCCCTGCCGACCGAGGAAGCCTTTATGCCTCGATCGCTGATATCTATATTCAATTGAGAAGGCTCGAGTTGCCCTCAATTGGATGCCTGATACCTGGCTTAGATGGCATTCGAGTTGGCAAGAAAACAGCTTCTATTGACATCAACATGCAGGAGCTCGAGGGCCTACGCCCTTCAACGATCCAAGATTCCTTTCCGAATAAGTCGTCTGCGAATGAACATATGGAGATGCTGCTCCAGATTGCCGAGAATGCATTAATAAATGGAAGAAGTAGCATCACTGATGAACGAGGACCAGAAGATCTGTACCACATGCACATCTTTCGTCAGTATGCGCAGAAGTGGATTGATCACAGCCTTGACAAGGGTCCATTTGTGTTGGTCCATGGGGACTTCGAGCCACAGAACCTGATTATGACCAAGGAATGGAAGATTGCTGCTGTCCTGGATTGGGAGTGGAGTCGTGTTGTCCCTGTCCAGCTATTCCACCCCCCATTGTGGCTCGTGGAGTTTGATGCCACTCGTCTGGCATGTCAATGGATATACGACGCGCGATTAATCACGACGTTCTCGCGTTTCAATAGCATCGTCAGGGAACAGGAGATGGCGAGATATGGGCAACCGATGCTCTATCAAGAGTGGGAGAAGAGAGGTGAGGATGGCGGGTTCCTTGTGGCCAATGCCTTGATGAACTGGACCGATATTGACTACGTTTCTTATCAATACGTCAACGAGAAATGTTATGGGGGATGCGACGACCTTGATACTCGTGTTGCGGCGTTCATGGAGGAGGACCCATCTCGGCGCTGCCTGGTCGAACACAGGTATCTTGAGGGGCAGGCCTACCTGGCTGAGTTAAGCTCATTGCAGGACAAGGGGCCTGAAAGGGATCGCACTTGAAAGTCATTGTCATATGAGCGGGCATCATGATGGAGCGATAGCCCCGCACCGGACCCTTCCGGATCTCTGGAGCCGGCTCGTGATAGATTCCGGTCCCGATATCAACGCCAAGAGGCAAGGTGAGGCCGTATTGGCAAGGGACAATATGTGCCGGATAACGGGGTATAAGTCCGCCCGCGAAGTAGCACATCTCTTCCATCAGCGGATGGACACTGGTTCAACTCGAATCAGATGCAAAGGTAAGAAATGTCCGCCCGCTGCGGCTTATCTTGACGAGAGCGGCCTATTGCACCCTCCCGCACCAACATGCAGTGGAGCTTACCGTGCGCGGATGTGGTCTTGTCGATCGTGGGGTTTCACGCCGGAGTCAAGTCAATCGCGCGGATGTGCACCTTGGACCCTTCATCAGGGATTGACCAAGGACAGGGGATGTAGTCGGCGCCTGGATGACGGGTCCTCATGTGATGGCTTCTCTGGGATGGGACGGAAGGGTTTCTTCGAATCCTTGAGCTAGGCAGTGCATTTCTCGGCCACCATGGACGTCGCAGTAGTGCGCGTGCTCCGTGTTGATGTTTTGGAAGAAAGCCTGGCAGCCTTCGGCCTGAAGGCGGCAAGGTATGATGCTCTCCGAGTGCGTATCGATGAGGTATGAGTCCCTGTCCTGATTGGATCTGAACAATTCAACACATCCACGGATGAAACATTCTAGATGACCATGCTCTGGGTGTTTCTTCTCGAGGTGGTTGAGCATTTGATCATTGCGCTTATACATCTTCTGGCAACCCACTACTGGGCAAGGCCATGTATCTCGGTTCGCCTTGGCGCGGGTGTTATTGTAGTGTGTCTGCTTGTCCTTGCCTTTGTGGAATCACAGCTGACAACTGAAAGCCGCATTGGAATGGAGGAACTCCTGGGTGGTCCCGTTGATATGGCGTACTATTAGTTGACTGGCTCGGCGCGAATTGTACGATACGTCGCAACACCGAATGTGACAATTTATCGTCGACAGCGAGGCGCCTAACGCCTCCGGTCAGGACAGTCGGATAACAAAACAGCACATAATGAAGACTCACTCTGGGGCGCTTTTTTGCCATTTTCGCGATATTCGAGAGATGACTTTGATGTTGCAGACTTCGGCGACTGTCCCTCTCCAAGGTCGGAGCCAACACAAATTTGCTTCGTGAGTCATCAGGGAGCCACGAAATAATCCGTCATTCCCTCCCTCTAAACCCGTGGACAACTGGTTACCTATATATTTAAATACATATCCTCAATAATCACCCCCAAAAAATATGGCAGTCCAAATCCGTGGCTGGTGTTGGGTCTGAACTGTGGCCGCTTTAACCAGAGTAGAGGGTGAGCAAGCGGGTGATCAGGGTGATCAGACTGACCTTGTAAGTGCTCGGGATATTTAACTGTAAATAATAGGTTCAGTGTGCAGTGTAATTCTTCATAATTTTTCACCCCTCTTCCCCGAAGATCGGAGCACGCCAGAATTAATTCTTCTGCGTATGACTCCCAACAAGTACTTTGAGTCACCACCTTTTCGTGACTCTACCCTCCTCAGGTAGCTCTATTCTGCTATTTACCAACTCAACACATGCTTCATAGATACAATTACCACGAGAGGTAATTCCTACGCACTGTAATTCCCGCGATATCTTTGCCGCCATGGGGCTTCCTGATCCCACCATCGACCTCAACTGGAGCGGCTACATCGGGGCCATTCATTAAATATTCCACAAGAATGCTTTGGAAACCCCTGAAGCGCCTTGCGTCACGGAAACGGCCTCCTCTATCCACCCAGAAAGGAGGTTCACATACAAACAGATCTACGAGGCCTCCAACATCTTGGCCAACCAGCTCCATGACGCTGGCATCACTAATGGCGATGTCGTCATGATCTTTGCCTACCATTCCGTCGAACTCCTCATGGCCTTCATGGGAACCCTCGCTGCCGGCGCTACCATCACTGTCCTAGACCCCGCGTACCCTCCGGTGAGACAGCAGATCTACCTTGAAGTGTCCCAACCAAGGGCCCTGATCACCATCGGAAGAGCCAAAGACGATAATGGTCCTTTCGCGCCGCGTGTCCAGAATTATATTGACGAGGAACTACATCTCAAGACACGGGTCCCCGAGATGCGGATGAGTGACGATGGCCACCTCACTGGCGGTGAGGTTGATGGAAAGGAAATCTTTACCGACGCTGAAGGCGAAGCATCAACGCCTCCGGATGTTCTAGTTGGACCAGACTCGTCAAGTATTCTGAGCTTTACCAGTGGCACGACATCTACGCCTAAGTCCGAGATCCAGCAAACTCCAAAGTCGAACATTAGCTAACTACTTTCAGGGGGGTGATGGGCAGACATTACAGCCTAGCCAGATACTTCCCCTAGATGGCGGAGCAATTCCGATGGACGTCAAAGACAAAGTTCGCCTGTCTAAGGTAGAAATCAAGGGCGATTTTTCTCACAGATTTGCTGACTCGCGATAGTGGCATAAGCCATGACCCCCCATTCAGCGGGACTTCTTTAGTCCTCTTTTCCTCGGGGCCGAGTTGATGATTCCGGCTCGCGAGAATATTGCCCACAACAAATTAGCTGAGTAGTTCCGCGACCACCAACCCAACGCAGTTCACCTGACGCCTGCCATGGGTCAGATCCTGGTCGGAGGCGCTACGGCAGAGTGTCCTTCTCTGACGTGGGTGCTCTACGTTGGCGACATATTGACCAAGAAGGATTGCGCTGCGCTCCGCAAGCTGACGTCCAACGCAGAAATTTGCGCTGCCTACGGTACCACCGAGACGAGCCGCAGCGTGTCTTACTACCAGATCAAGAGCCGCACCGAAGACCCGGATGCGTTGGATAAGTTCGGCGATATCGTCCCTGCCGGAAGGGGCATAGAGAATGTCCAACTCTTCATCGTCAATCGGGAGGATCATACCAAGCTTTGCGGCGTTGGCGAAGTCGGCGAGATTATGATGAGAGCCGCGGGTTTGGCCGAGATAAGTGTCCTTCTCGTTTTAATTAAAAGATACCTACTAACATTCGACCTTACGGATATCTGAACGACCCAGAGAATACTACGGAAAAGTTCCTCGACAACTGGTTTGCCGACAACAAAATCTGGGTCGAGGCCGATGACAAAGTTGCCAATCACGCCAACGAGCTCTGGAGGAAGTATTACAAGGGACCGCGCGATAGGATCTACCGGACTGGGGATCTTGGGTACTTTTTTGACGACTCTGGTAACTGCGCTATTACGGGCCGGGCTGACAGTCAGATCAAGATTCGTGGCTTTCGCATCGAGCTCAGCGAAGTCGATAGCAACTTGAGAGGATACCATTTAGTCCGCGAGTGCAACGCTGTCCCGACTTACTTCATCTACATGAACAAAATGCCCTTGAACCCCAACGGCAAGATAGACAGCTCGAACCTGCCGTTCCCGGACGCGGCCCTGATCTCGGATGAGGCGTCAGAGGAGGATCTGAAGAGATGGGAAACATTCAGCAACACCGAGAAGTAAATGGCGGAGCAGTGGGCGACTCTTATCGGTGGCTTGAATGCCAGGACTCTTCGCCCTGACTCGGATTTCTTTGAGAGCGGTGGGCATAGTCTGCTGGCACAGCAGCTTCTTCTCGATATCCGCAAGAAGCTTGGTGTCAACGTGTCCATCAGCTCACTCTACTCCGACTCATCTCTCAAGGCGCTCAGCGCACAAGTCGACCGCCAGCGCGAGGCCAAGGATGATCCGGGCGCGACGGAGGATGGCGAGTCTGCATATGCCCAGTCGCTCGACAAGCTGCGTGGCGGCCTCGATTCCAAGTATCAGACGGCGGACCCTGCGGCACTCTCACCGGCAGGCAAGACCACCGTCTTCGTGACCGGCGCCACGGGTTTCCTGGGCTCTTATATCGTCAAGGATTTGCTTGGGCGTGAGAACATCAGCGTGATCGCTCATGTCCGCGGAACGAAGAGCGTTCAAGCCGCCCTGGAGCGACTTCAGAGGTCACTTCGCGGATACGGCGTATGGCAGGATTCTTGGACCACCAGGCTAAGTGCAGTTGCCGGTGACCTGTCGCAGTCGCGCCTAGGACTTGACGATAAGACATGGAACGAGGTTGGCGACGCTGTGGACGTGGTTATCCATAACGGCGCCCTGGTTCACTGGGTGAAACAGTACAAGGACCTTGAGCGTAGCAACGTTCTATCCACGCTTGATGCCCTCCGCCTCTGCAACCAGGGCAAGCCCAAGCTTTTCTCCTTCATCAGCTCAACAAGCGTTCTGGACACAGATCACTATGCCGCACGAGCAGACCTGCACAGGACAAGGCGCTGTGATGGAAGCAGATGACATGATGGGCAGTCGCTCCGGTCTTGGAATTGGGTACAAGTGGGTAAGTGGCTTCGAGACCTCCTTTTACATGTAACAATAGTTCTGATGGACCACAGGTTTCTGAACAGCTCGTCCGCGAGGCGGGCGGACGCGGCCTCCTCGGATCCATCATCCGACCTGGCTATATCCTCGGGGACGCCACCACTGGTGTTTGCAACACTGACGACTTTCTCGTCCGCATGCTCAAAGGGTGCCCGGCCGAAACTGCAAGCAGCAGCAGCAGCGACGTCGATGTTCACGTTGTCCACGTCACTGGCCACCCGCGCCTCCGCATGAACGAATACCTCTCCATCTTAAGCTACTACGGCTACGACGTGCCCGAAGTGGACTACAACACCTGGAAGGCCCAGCTTGAGACGTTTGTCTCTGCTGGCTTCGTTCAGAAAGACGAAGAGCAGAGCACCTTGATGCCGCTCTTCCACATGGTCACAAACAACCTTCCATCAACCACCCGCGCGCCAGAACTCGATGATCGCAACGCCGTCACTGTACTTTCGGCCGATGCGGACCGGTGGACTGGTGTTGATGAGAGTGCTGGTGAGGGCATTAGCAGGGAAGCTGTCGGCCGCTTTCTCAGGTACCTAGCCGAGACGAAGTTCTTGACATGGCCGACTGGTCGGGGCAGAGAGCTGCCAGCCATCAAGGCTGATGTTGTACAGGCACGGGCGCAATGGTCGCCCGGATATCGTCCTCGGAATAGGTAATAGTCGCGGATCGGTCGTTAAAGATAACGTGGTAGCCGTTGACCGGGACGGCGTCGATGTTGTCTCTGCTGCACCAGCTCGCCCACAATGCGGTCAGGTTCTTTGCGGGATCGTTCGAGGAGGAATACCGAGCGACCGACCTTGTTGCGCGAGTGGGACGGCGATTGCAGCTCCAAAGATGCCAGCGCCGACCACGACGACATGGTCCTCGTGATGGTCGATACGATGCACGACTGTTTCACTGGCCGAGACAGTGGCAGTATCACCGCCAGGAGGAGGACAATCCATGATGGTAGAAACGATGCGAGAGAGTTGTTGATGGAGAAAGGGTCGTAGATAACCGTCGAAGAGGCTTGTAAGTGCTAGTCCCCATCTATATGCATGGGCGCAATTAACTACCAGACTCCCAGGCCGCCGTTCTTTGTCCATCACGCCGACGGGAAAGTCCCGCTCTACCCTAACCCACGTACTTTAAGTAATATCATGTTCTACACCCCTTGATTGTGACATCATCCTGAGGGGCTGCCATGGCGGGGTAGCTCATTAAATTGCGGATTATGCAGGGTTCATACACTACCTAAGGTACTACGTAGTAAGGCTGCCGGGCACTCAATCGTGTAAAGGGCGGTCAAGCGGGCCGATCCTTGAGGCTAAAGTATTCTACGAGTATTCTACGTGTTACGGCGACAATTGGACCGTAAACACCAAATCATCATCATCATCGCCATCGCCAGCAAGCAAAACCACATCAGTCAAGGCCTATACCCCAACTCGACATGTGATAAAAAATGCCAAGCAGCCGTATCTTTGCCTGGCTCGATACGATTCCAGACGATTCCGAAAGCAGACCAGTTCCTGCGACACACGACCCAAGCCTCCTTCGCAAGCGGCGTCGCCTGTACCCTCCTACACCCGAACACTCCGCAACAAAGAGGCTCAACGACGCCATGTCAGCTCATGCTGGCAGCCCCGACAAGCGGCCTAACGACGAGACACACAAGCCTTCTCGCAGCAACAAGCGCGTCCGCGAGTCAAGCTGCTCATTTCCTCCGTCGCAGTCGCAGTACTACGCATCCACTCGATCCGGGCAGGCTTCGACGTTGAGAGACCTAGCTGCGCTTGAGCGTGACCAACAAGGCCTGAAACTCTGTGAACTCAGCACATTCCACCCCCAGCCGCCATCCCTTGAAGTGCTCCTTGAACAGATTGAGGCGTTTTCTTACGCCGAGCGTATCTTGCCTGCCTCGGCTCGAGATAGGATCGAGAGGCTCGAGTATTGGGATATAAAGTAGGCTACATAAGGGCTCAGGAGCGTCAAACACTACTTAACAGAACGTGAGGCTCTCGGGTGTACACCCTCTCCTGACTATGTTCGCAAGCTCGTTTTCGAAGCAGCAGGATGTAGTGCTAACTGCCATCCAGAGGCCAACTGGAACATGGCGGTACACAGTCGGATTTTGGACATTGTCTTCGACACGACAGATAATCAGGCTCGTCTTGTGAAGTGTATGGGCAGGTGAGACTGAGTTTACCTGGAACAACTCCAGTGGTATCTATATCTGACTTAACCCTCTGTCCTCTAGTTTAACCGCATCCATCATTCAGGAGTACCATCGATCCGTCTCTCGCACTAAAAGGGTTGACTTTTATATCTACCTCGAATCTTCCGACGACAACTCTTATCCCCAGGCCGAAGACGATATTGACCGCCTTTCTATGACTCTTCGCGGTGCAGTTATCAACCATACAGACTTTTATCCGCTCCGCAACCGGCCTATCGCTGTGAGCATCGAGACTACAAACCCCGATGAGAGCTGGGAGAAGGTAATATTGCAGTTTGGGGTTTGGGAGTCTGCATGCTGGGCCTTTTTACGACACCTATTTGACAAGTATGAGGACCAGGTGGCTGAAGACGAAGCCGCAAAAGGACACCAAGGCTATACTCCTGCTCCTCCACCCTCCATGTTAGGGCTGCCCGAGTTCCTCCCAGGAATAATTGTCCGAGGACATGACTGGAATCTCGTCATCACTACGCAACAAGGAGAACGGACAATCCTCTGGCAAAGGATCCTAATGGGGACTACCATGAATCCCAAAGGTGTCTACCAAATTGTTTGCTGCCTACAACTACTGCGGCAGTGGACGCAAGATACCTTCTGGCCGTGGCTGAGGGAGGTCATTCGTCAGTCAAGCAAATCATGCCCGGGTTGACTGGTGTTATTTCTGTCATATACATCTAGATATATGAAGCTCGTCGCATCGGAGCCGCTCTTCCAGTCAAGAGTCTTCCTTGCTCACGCCAGACGTCGCACTGAAAGAGCTCGATAACCGTGTTGTACACGTACTCAAGCCAAACGCATCGGTTCTTTGACAACTGTCGGACGGAATAACGCTGGGCTGCTGGGCCTGCCACATGCGTGCGTAAGCAGCCAAAATTTCCAGCACCTACAGCCCTAATCTTCCGGCAGCTATAGCGCCTGTAGCACTTTAAGCTTCTTGAAGCTACAGTATCTTAATTTTTTAACAGCTATAAAACTATAGCACTTTAAGAATTTAGTAGCTGCGGTAAATATAGTAGTTTTAGTATTTTAAGCTTCTAATTTCTATAGTATTTTAATATTAAAGCTGCGAGAAGATTAAAATGCTGTAAGTGCTATAGCTATTAGAAGCTTACAGCGCTGTAGGTGCTATGGCTGCTGAAGGTTTAGGGTGCTGCAGGCCCTGTAGCTGCTTGGAAGTTTGGGGTGCTGTAGGCGCTGCTTAATTTACGTAGCGGATCTTATTCGCACCACCGGTGGTGACCTTATTTGCACCGCCAGTGGTGCAGGAATGGGCCCCGGCAATGTTTGTGATTGCTCTGCAGATAAGCCACTCCACGGAAAGTAAACAAGGACGACTTTCAGCAATTATGGCCTGCAAATACGATCCAATCGACGAGCCACGCCTCTTCTCCGGTGGCCGGGACTATTCTGAGGTTCCGTCTGTTTGATTTTTTCATCCTGGCTACGCGGACGCTGGCGGAACTCCCGATTTCGATGTCCTCATCTCTTTGGAGGCGTTTGACGACGGAGGCACCGGCATCCACTACGACACGGCGCACACGGCATGTGCTATCCTCGCTAATAACCGGTGGGATGGCTATTTTTCTCATGATAAGCATGGAAGGCTAAAGGCCCAACCTCTTGATGGAATTCTTCGCAACGAACAGTACTACTTTTGTCTCCCGTCTTCTGACCCGTTAACCGACTCATACCCCGTTATCCCCCGATTCAGGGACTGGCGATTCCCTCATGGCGATCTGCCACCCATATGGAAGAAACTCAAAGATCAATTGAGGGCAAAGGGCCCGGGCGACAAAAGCAAAGGCGCCAATTGCTTGCTCAGTAATTGTGGTGATGCTGTAGAATCCGCCTATCTCGTACCTTCAGCACAGTCTTATTGGTGGACGATAAACTTGATGAAACGGTAAGACAGCAAGCAAATCTGTCAAATTATTCCCTGTTAATATTGCTCAATCAGGTATGCGAAGACGCCCTCTTTCTCGACGAATGACATGGACGTCCCGGCAAACGCGCTCCCTCTGCGCTGCGACATACATAAGATGTTCGATGAGCGGCACTTTACTTTTGTACCAAAGACCGTTATTTATCGATTTCAAAGAAGAGCGACGTTACTATCGCAAGACGACGCAGGCCATCGCGACCAGGACCTTTCCTCACCGGGAGATTCCAAGTTGCGCGCGGATAACGACGGACCATCTCAAGCCGATTTGCAATTACCAATACGATTAAATGCGGGTAGCGAGAGCCATAACGCCGAAAATGAACTGAAAGCGGACCCGGTAGATGTCGTTGGACACGTTTTCAACTCTACTCCATCTGGCGATCTCCCCCGGCTGTGGCACAACCGGGCGTTGTGTTCGCCGCCATCATCAGCCTCGGTTGAATACTTATTTGCTCGATTCGCCTACACCGTCTTCTCGCCTTCGGTGTTCAAGTACTTTCTGGATTCGAACAAGGCCCGACGGCTTCTCGTGTGGGATCAAGAGAAACTCAAACAAGAAATTGAGGAGGCTGATCCGGAAAAGTGTCGCTCTATTTGGAATGCCTCAAGGTCGAGAAGCGAGAGCCCGAAGAAGAGAGCAAGATCCACTGGAAATGGAGAATATGATGAGGGTGGGGATTTCGCTTCTGAAACTTCTACTTTGAACGAGCCGGAGCGCGGTCGAAGAAGGAAACGCAAGTCTGAGGAGTACTCAGAGACGAATGATTTATATGGGGTGAAACGGAGTAGATTGGATTGTTAGTATGACCGATGACTTTGTGGTCAATATCACGGCCCGTGTTGGGACCAGGCGGTTACAACCGGCAGTAACGGTACCAAGCCTAACAGCAACAACATTAGCCTCCAATAGTAAATATGAAAATCGGTAAGTGCGGACGCCGTGGGACAGGTTGATCAAGTGGCGAGAACGACAAAATCACCCAGCGGTATGCACATCGCTATCATTTCTCAATGGCTAAAACTAGGACAAGGGAATGCACTGTTCGGTTCTCATATCCGGTGCAAGGAAGGGCCTTGAGCCGCCTAATTGGTACTGTCACCAAGAAATCGTAAGCGGACAGTTGATGTGCATGTCGATTGTTGCACATACCTTGCTCCATGCTGCCTTAAGAGCCGTTCGCCGGGCGTTCCCATCCGCAGACAGAGCATTTCTCTCCTCTCTTGATATTCGTGCCACTGCAGCCAAACTTCTGGCGACCTGCGTACAGACTGGATGCCATGGTGATAAAAGCCAAAGAGCAAGAATCAACCGTTCAAGGCGGCGTGAGAGGAGAACAACCTGTAAAGTTTGGATGTTAATGAAAGTAGATATGTTAATAGAATTCGTATTCTTAGGGCGATAATGTGATGAGCGATTGTGGCGACCCTTGGAAGACATCCAGGAGAGGCCCTGTTTTATTCCGAATATTCAATGTAGTGAGTGAGTGAGTCCTAGGTGTGTTGAAGGCGGATTGGCCCGGCCATCGGGGTAACTGAAAGTGGATTGGCATGGCAACAGCACCAACGTCAGCTATAAGAAGGCTGCATGTAACGGTCGTGTCTTCTGGTCTGCCGTAGACGTGGTCTAGGGTAGGCGGAAGGCGGGTTGCTGGTGGATAAACCGTAGGTTTATGTTAGCAGAGCGGTTAGGGCGTCACTTACAGAGTAAATGTTACGTCTGGTAATAGTCAAGCACAGTGATGCGTAGCGAGTCAAGGTGATTGAGGTAACCAAGTTGTATTGATAGCTGAGGAGCTGCCCATAATAGATGCGCACTTCTCAGATGGCTATATACTGATGTGATCGGTTATGATCACTCTTGCGGTGATCAGAGGTGATCACGGAGTGATCACTGTGATCGTGATCGCTGGGGATCGGGAGTGATCACGGAGTAATCACGGATGGCTAAACTATGTTCCGTTCCGGGAGGCTGAGAAAAGTGGGGTTGCGTCCGGGGCCTGATGCAGGTCGCGGCCAGGCCGTGACACTGCATAAAAAAAAAGAGTAGTGCTATTTGGGCGGTATGGTATTGCTATTCGGGCTGTAGACCCACCTTTCTACCTACACGTGACTGCTATTGCTGGTAAGATTTTCCAGAGTTTAACCATTTGTCCCACTTTTTCTGCGCGCTAGCCACGTGACTTCCGCCCAACAGCTACAGCGCCGCAGCGCACTGTAATTGCAGCTGCTGCAGCAGTCACAGCGCCCCAAGCCCGCTGTAACTGCTGCTGCGCCAGCAGTCATAGCGCTGCAGCCTACTGTAACTGCCGCTACGCCAGCGGTCACAGCCCCAAGTCAGCTATACCCCCCTTTACACCCGGCCCTCATCCCCTCACCTGTCTTACTGCTGTTCCTCGGGTCATAGAAATTATATGTGATTAGGAACTTTACATCGACAGCAGCGGAGGCGGCGGAAGGGCGGCGGAAGGCGCATGCTTTGAAGCTGAAGGTGTGATGTAACAGGGGCGTGGAGCGCTGTGACTGCTGTAGCGGCTGCAATTATAGCGGGCTGCAGCGCTATGACCGCTATAGCGGCTTCAATTACAGCGGGCTTGGGGCGCTGTGGCTGTTGGGCGGAAGTCACGTAGCTAGCGCGCAGAAAAAGTGGGACTTCCGCTGAAAAAATGGAAGTCACGTGCTTAGCGCGCAGAAAAAGCGGGTCGTTGGGTTTTCCGCATGACAGGTCATGTGAGGGATCACGTGCACCGCCCGAATAGCAATACCATACCGCCCAAATAGCACTACTCAAAAAAAATACAAACACGACAAGAGTCTCTGTCTCTCAAGACACTTTTCTAGCACCTTACCAATGGCCATCAAACAACCACACGAGTTGAATTGGAAAAATACTGACATCGATAAGGAGCGCTCTCTTCCCGCCGTTAATTGGGATGCGCTTCAAGAGTACGCCATTGCTTTGAGGCAAGCGCAACGTGACGATGGACCTCCCCCAACTTGCAATCTACTTCCCCAGTACAATATGGGTGGACTGCATATCATCAGACTACTCCAGTTCAACGATGGCGCCAGATGGGTCGCACGCATACAGCTACACAGTGGCAGCGATGAATCCGCCAAACGACTTCTCCACGAGGTCCACACACTTTCTGTGATCCGAGAACAGCGGCGCGTTCCGGTTCCAGAGGTGTTCGGATACGAGAGTACAACCAACAATCCAGTTGGTGTTGCCTTCATCCTCATGGACTTTATCCCTGGTGACAGTGCGATGGACTCCTTTGGAGGCTGGCACGCTCACCATGGCAAGATTCCCTCACAGTACAAGTCTAAGTTCTACCATCAGCTCGCACAGATGCAGGTGAGATTTCCACCCAAGCATCCATTCTTCAACAAAAAACGCTAAGCCAGAACAGGCCGACCTGGCTTCAGTCAGGTTCCCTATGATAGGAAGAATTACGCAACGAAGCGATGGTTCATTTGCTATTGACGCCATCCCGGGCATCGGTGGACCCTTTTCCACCAGTGCAGACTATCTCGAAGCATGGGCGCAAAATGCCAAATTTCCGGTGCCAGAGAAAGAGCTTCGATCGATGTTGCCACCAGACCTGGAAGATGAGTTGATCTCATCAATTCAAAGGTTTCCTGCCAAGCTCGCTGCATCGGTCCGACGGACCCCGCTGAAAGATGGGCCCTTCCCACTCTATCATCCCGACCTTTTCCATAGCAACATCATCATTGATAGCGACTACAATGTCTTGTCCATCATTGACTGGGAAAATGCGTGCACAGTGCCGTGGGAAGTCGTTCAATTCCCAATGTTCCTGGCTTCCACGCCCCCTCCGATGGATGCACCGTGGAATTACGACGACGCCGGCGAGCCCACAAACCAAGAAATCCGTGAGCGTTGGAAGGAACAGAAGGAGTACCTGCAGAGTGTGATGGAAGCAGAAGAACGGCGGCAGCTTGATCATATGTTGTCTTCCACACTGGCTGATAGGGATGTGCAGAATCTGGCCGGCGCGATCAAGCTTTACATGGACCCAGGCAAAATTGGTTACTACTGTAAAGTACTTGATTGCTTACGCTTTATGTCAGGGGACGTATTGTGCAAATAGAGATGCATGTGTTGTGGGCTGTGTTACAGATGAAGCCGACAAGAAGGTCGAAATAAGACTGCCCCCACGGGCACTTCGGATTCTGTATCGCTTAGATGGCGGCTTGGTTGTCGGTGAAGATGGCGCCCCGTGTAGAGGATGCTAGAGCCGATAGAGCTGACAGCCGCTTCGTAGCGCCCGCTTCCACCTTCTCGCGATGGTAGTCCCACCGGAGCTTGGTGTCCATCTGGATTGGCAGCTATGTGCAGCGTACAACTATAAATACAGGCGCTCCCGCCCTTCGCCTTCAGAGACCAAGCTGCTCCTCCTAGAACTGCTTCCCCTTCTGCTCCTGGCAGTTACACCTGACTGATAGTCTTACTAACTGTTATGCATCTATGTTCTTGTCAGGCCTTTCCTGGCCCTCCTATGCTTCTATATGCTTATAATCACTTGTCTACACTATCAGTATTTGAGTACCGTGGATGGGACTGCTCGGAACTGCCCACCAAACTCAGCCTCCGAAAGGCACCTTTTACGTCACAACCCATGCGCCAGGTTGGAGCCACAATTTGCGCCACACCACCCAACGCTTTGTGCCCCTGGTTTTTTTTTTTTTGGGTTTTAAAAAAGTCTCAATTTTTTCATGCTCCCGTTACATATTCCAACAACTCACGATTTCCCAAAGCATAGGTACTAAAACTAAACGCATGTCTTCGTCCTCTCCCCTTAACCCAACCACTATAGCTATGTCTTTCTATGTTCGCTCGAGTACAGCACGATATCTTACTCGGCCCTGCCGAAGCTTTTCCATAGCTGCTGTGACTCCTTCCCCATTCAGAGGGAACAGCTCTATGGTAGGTCGGATGCTGTGAAGAGCCGCGAATGCCAACATCTCCCGGTGCATTTGGTATGGCGCCGGTAGACTGCCTTGGATTTGGATGGCATTCATAACCAAGTCCATGTAGGGGAGCTTCAGCTCGCTGGGGTCAACCGTCATTGCACTGATGGTACCGCCCCGTCGAATCCACGGTATAACGTTCGCCCAATCCGGCTGCTTAGCCGCTGTAACAAGCAAACATTGGACAGTTCCCTCGGTCCTCATTTTAGCCAGGCTGTTAATATCATAAAATTCGTGCGCTCCGTAAGATAATGCCTCATTCCGCTTGTCAGGAGAATTCGAAAACACGACAACATTGCAGCCCATCTTTGCAGCAAACTGAATCGCTAGGTGGCCCAGACCTCCTATACCAAGGATTCCCACCCGGTCAGTCGAACGAACGCTTGCGCGCTGGATAGCCGAGTAGACCGCAGCTCCAGCACACATGAGGGGCGCCGCGTGCGCTGACTCGATTGTTTCAGGGATCTGAAATAAAGATTGCTCATTCCAGATCGCATGAGAAGCGAACGAGCCTTGATCCAAATTAGTAAAACCATACAGCTGCCTTTCATCGCAATAGAGGTTCTGTCCACTGCAACATGCCCAGCATATGCCACAGCTGCCGTGACAATAACCCCACCCGATTCGGTCCCCACTAGATGAGCAACGGTTAATGCTAAGTTACGCTTTGAGCAGCATATTCTCAAAACTTACCTCCGTATGCTCTTCACCTCTGGTCCAATATTAATTGCAATTCCGATCCCCTCATGACCAAGCACCATGTCCTGTGACTTATAATGCTCGTCAGTCCCACAGACACCTGAATGTGTAATCTGCACGAGCACTTCCTTGCCCAAGAGCGGACGATTTTCCCTTCTCGACTCTCGAACATGTCCTGAAGGAGAGCCTTTGTAAACAATGATGTCGATTGATGCCATTTCGAAAGATTTTGACGGGCTATGTTGAGCATGACGGTACAATAGATCATGGTAAGCCCTAAACGCGAGATATGGGGTTTTTATAGACCGCGCTCGCCTGGGAGGCATAGTGCGTCGCTCGTATCATCTCTCGTCGCGGTTACGTCATGCCTGGACGGAAGGGGAATTCCGCCCCCTCATTCCAGTCGCGAGTGAGTGTTGCTTTAAAATTGTTCACTCACCGTTCCATGTTAGGCCACCCTTGTGAGTCAGTTGTGTCGGTATTTACTGGGGTACCTAATGCGTTGCTATTGAATTGGCCAATAAGCTTCTTAGCGTCTGACGCAACCTCGCTCCTTCGGCTGACCAGCCGGCCGTATTCTCCAAGCACCGACTCAGACACCCCGTCATTGCTCTCAATGTGACCAACCATTGCGTTTGATTTAGAGTTGCTGCGAAAATAGGCGAAAATAATCAAGTCGAGGAATGTAACATTGGAACCGGGTCAGAAATTTCCACGATACAATGATTATTTTCGTCCCTCTACAAATATACGCAGCTGTTCGCTCTTTGCTCATTTTTTCTAATACAATTGGATTATCACACACATCTACATTACAACTTTACCCACTGCTCAAAATGCCTACTCAGGAAGAAATTAAGAACTTGGAGGTCATCTCCAAGTACTTCGCCGAATTTTGGGGCAAGGCCAACCCTAACATCGTTGATGAGCTCTGCGCCAACGATTTTGTCATCAACTATCCTATGCACGGCCCCCGATATGGAAGAGAGGCTGCTAAGAAAATGCTGTCGGAGTTTAAGGAAGTAAGTCAATTAACGCATAGTGTTCCAATGGCGACTAACATATAGCTTTGCGATTAGGCCTTTCCGGATATTTCTTTTCATGCGTATCAACACCCACTGATCGCCAGCGGGCCCTACGTGGTTGGTCGGTGGATTGGCGGAGGCACTCATACGGGCGTTGCATTTGATGATCTTGCGGTGGGAGCTCTGGATAAGCCCAACACTGGAAAGAAGATGTATTTCTCTGGCACAACTATTTTCACGCTTCGAGATGGCAAGATTGTAGATGAGACTGGTGAGGAAGGCGCCTTGACTGCGCTTCAAAACCTGGGCCTTGTTTCTCAGCCTAACCCTGGCAAGGAGGTAAAATATCTTCATGAACACTAGGAGAACGGTAACAATTACTGCCATCCAATGCAGCAATACTCGTCAATAACATAAATTGGGTTGCCAATTGGAAATATGAAATTTTAATGAACGCCATCTAAATGAAATAATATGATAAGTGCAGCTGCTTCTGAAGGATAAATGCGAAATGAACTGCACGAATAAGCATAAAGAATTCGCCTTGTGATAATACGTATATTTGTGTTAAATGATGCATGTATACCTGCATTTATTATTAAAAATATATACACTGGCTTGAAAGTTGGGAAGTAAAAGGCATAAAACTGGTCATACGCAGACGCCACCAGCCATAGGCCTCGCCTATAAAGCCTAGTGCCAGGCACCCACGCCCACATTCTATCCTTTCCTCCTGTCCCTTTTAAACAAACACCTACAAGGACGCCTTCACAAGGCAAGTGCCTTGCTTCTCAGGCTTGTTCCGAAAGGCGTTGGCCCCGCCATTGTTGTTCATTTTGCGGTACCTATTCTTTGATGGAAGCGCGCCGGCCAATTGGATAGCGAGCCATACAGTCGGGTCGTTTTGAGCACAACAGCTCAACCACTGGCGTAGTGGAAACAGTAGCCGAAATTTGCGGCGCCAGTCTTACCGTCGATGCGGCCGGCACTGGGCCTGCGCCTCTCGTCCATCGCGATCAGCGAGGGTGTCGGACAGGGGCAATTTGCACAATCACCAATCACGGAAAACCCATGCTGCATCACACCATTCCAAAAGAAGGCGTAGGTGGTGGGTCCTACTCCCAGCGAAAGGACGTAGCTTGGTGAGAGAACATACTATTCCAAAAGAAGGCGAACGTGGTGGATCATACTTACAGTGGCTGAGGACTATTGAGCCCGACAAGGTCCAGATCCATGACAGGTCGGAAAGCTGGGTGGATGGAGGGGTGTGAGCTATGTATTTCAAAGTTTCCAACCCTCCTCCTCGCATGAATTGTCTCTGCTCTCCTCAGCTCGCTGTCGGAGACGGCTGTGTCCCCGGTTGACTGGCAGATGCTTACTTATATCACTGATGCCCACGCCGGCATCAGCATGCCTCGCCGGTTCGCAAGTGATTCGCCTACCCCGACATGGTATTTCACCGTGGATCCTATGACACAACTGGAATCCCGAAGCCACCGCCGAAACCCAAGCCCCAATGAAGACGTCCTTGATCATTGCTCTTGCGATCATGTGCCCCGTGGCAGTTGCGCTCATTCCGGTGAGCTTTTTTTTCTGGCGTCGACGCCATTCTTCTCAGTCTGATGACACAGATGAAGAGCAAGGTAGATGAAATGTGCATTACAGAAGATCCAAGTTAACCATGGCAGGGGGCACGAGCTCAGAGACCATCGTTCTCTCAGATGCGAACCGCGAACCTCCTGGCCCTATTTCTGTCGCAATTATTGGTTCTCCGATTGATGCCGAAAATTGGCTGGAGACCAATAAAGCCCAACTCACTCCCGACTTCCATTTCGACCACATCGACGAGTCCGACATCGCTTCCGACTCGGATTTCAAAACACTCAACCAGTCGGGGATTCTGGCTTACGTCGTGTTTCCAAGTTTGAGTCGCGGATGCATCAAGAACTTGAGCGTCTCGTCAAAGCTCAAGCTCGTGGTTGGGGGGATTCCCTCCGAGTGGAAGTGCCACTTGAGTTTCACGGATGATTGGATGGAGGAGACGAAGGGAGTGATTTCACAAGCCTCCATCAAACGGCTGCAATTACGACAGAAGAACGCTCATGAATAATGTACTCCAGGAAGGGTGTCAGTACCTTGCCTTATATTACGTCCAGCACCATTCAAATGATCAAGTCAGGATTGATTTGTGGGAAATGAACACGTGGGAGTGTCCAGTACTTTTGACAGCGCGGCCTTAGCCTCGACCCAGAGACGGGCTTATTTCCCCGAGCCCCTTGCTTGAGGTGTTCACGGCCCGAACTAATGCGCAGTCCAGCTCTGTCTCTCTCCCCCTAGCCGTCTTGCATGCGAGGGAGATGGGATGAATCCATCTGCAGGGCTGTAGGGTGTGCAGGTAGCTAGTATGTCTGACCCAGCCTTCACTCTTAGTCTCTTATCACAACCCTCGACCCACCCACTCCCACCCCCCTCCTTCACGACCCCTTGCGTTGCACGAGAGAAGCGGCTTGGCTGTTCCAGATAACCCATGCGAATCCCACTCATGCTCTCGGTGCATGGCCAGCTAATCACCCCAACAATTACTAGCTGAAACATGAACAGCCTGGGCTTCCCTCCCAACCCCCAAAAACTGCACCTACAATGACAAACCCCACTGAAAGGCTCGCGCTGCCAGGAACAACCACACAATTGGGAAAAAGAAAATCAGACGACAACCTTGCCAACCACCGTCAGGGTTCAAGTCTTGGGTTTGAATCGGATCACTCCATACTCGAGGTGAAACACAATTTCCGGCGAACAAAGAGGCAGGACGTCCCTGCTCACTGGGTGAGATCGGAAGTGGCAACGGGCCTTTGCTGCAAGTGTCAGAGGCGGACAGTCGTCGCAGGGCACCTGTTATGCGCGTCATGCGAGCATCGCAAGGAGTTTTGTTTAGACTGTCTGGGTGGGAAGAATGTACAAGACTGGGATCAATGATAGGCAGAATGAAGATGGTGCTCCAACAAGATACATGCGAAAAGCAACACCATCATCACAATACAGATCTGCACTAATGCAATTGCACCAAATTCCACTCCGGACAAGTCCCAACCGTTATCCATGTTCATTGATCGAGAGTCTAGCTCATTGACTGGGAGTAAGGGGATTGTTTCAGCTGTGGAGAGTCTGAAAAGACTGCTTGGAGGGGGAGCGCGGCTTCTGGAGAGCTTAACGGCCGCATGGATATCGAGTGCGGGATTCTGTTTGCCATTACCCTTCGGTTTTATTAGTGCTCGAAGAATGACAAGCTTGGGGGAGTGTAAGCAACCTTTTCCATTTCGCGTTGGCTCATCTCGGATCGAGGTTTGAATCCAGCAGCGGATGGAATCATGTCCAACCTCAAAACGAAACAGCTTTGAGAAGAAAGAGAGAATCGACCACCAGCGGGGTGTGGTCAGTATATGTGACAGGCGCTCCAAGCACCACGAGGGCGGTGCCCCAAAGCCTGCTCAGCAGCCAACCGAACGGAACCACATCATCACCTCCTCACCTGCTCTAGGGAGTGCACACCCAAGTCAAAAAAGGCAAGAGGCTTAAACACTGTGGCGGCGGTAGCGGCCCAAGTAGGAGTGACGGCTGAGGGGGGACAACGCTAAATAGACGCGCTGGACGGCTACACCTGCACGAGGCGAGCCTTTACCCTCCCTTGTGCGGCGCATAAACGCCGACCCGTATCACCTCTAGTATGTACAGACATTGCTGTGGTCATTGTGTACCATGTGTACGATTTGACTGCCCCATGCCACCGTCACTGCGACAGCAGCCAGCAACATATCTACCACATCCATGGACCATTACCACAAGTCTTGGTGCCGATTTTAAACAGGAAGAGGACAATCAGCGACTGGAAATTCTCGTCTTAAGCAGTAAAATCTAGCTAGTATGCGAAACAGCTCAATCCTAGTGCTCTTCCTACAGCTTGGCCAACAAAGCGTCCCTTCCTCGCCGTCTCGCCTTGCCTCCACACATGTTGAAAAAGACATGCTCAATGCCACCATTTGTCAGCTTCAACAGCAAGCACATGACCAGGAGAAATCGCGACTTGTCGGCGCTGAGGAATCCTGCCGGTATTCCAAAGGCCACGCCGTCCGATGCACAGAACCCGGACACCGACTGGCAGCACACCACCACGGGCACGTTGCCGGGGTTCATCGTGTTCAGTGCTTCCTGCGGCCAGTAACCGGAGCCCATGGCATCGAGAACCACTCCCTCGTTTCCGGCATCGATTGCGGCGTTGAATATCTGGGAAGAGATCCCTAAGTGGGCGGTGACTACCGGGACGTAGGGGAGCTTGTGGCTGTGAGTCAGGTCGATTTCGCGAACGTCTATGTACTGATGACCCAGAGGCCGGGAGGCGGGGAACGTAAACACGGGCCTGGTGTTCACAAATCTTCCCAAAGGGCCCGCGTTTGTTGCTTCGAATGCGTTGATCCTGTTGCAGTCCGTCTTCTCCGTAAACCGGGCGGGTAGAATCAGCTCTCCGCACACGACCATGGCCCCGCGATTCCTCGCTTCATCGTCGCAGAGCAATTCGAGGAGGGAAAGGAAGTTCCCAGGGCCGTCCGCACTGATGGCTGTGAGCGGACGCACCGCTCCCATCACGCCGATTGCTTTGTTGCTGTTGCTCGTGGCATCAAGCGCGTATGCTACCACCGGCAGTCCGTCTGTGCCGTTGATAACGCCCACAGCTTTGACATCGGGCTTTCCCAGCTCAGACTGAGTCAATTGGCACAGCTTGAGGACCTCGGCGTCGGTGAGGTTGATGCTGTCTTTCGAGAGGAATGGGATTTTGACGATGTCGGCGACTTCATGGACACCTGGTGAGGCTTCGAGGAGATGGTCGATCCCATAAGTACCACTGGTGTAGTTGGTCATCTCGCGTGAAGAAGGGGCATGGCCGAGCGCTGTTCCTCCAGTTGTAATGAGCACAACTCTTGGTTTGGTCTTGGGTGCATTCATTGTATGGAAGCGTATTGAGTGCTGCCGGCTCCTAATGTGAGAGGATGCCCTTCCCTTCCTCCGAGGGGGCACCGTATCTTTACGTGTTGGGATCCTGGTGAGAAAACGCCTCGCTGTTTCGCCCGTAGACCTATCGGATCCTCCACGAGGTTACTTGCATATCACACCCCTCCCGCGTCCAACCAACAAACCTCCCATTGCAAGACCCACTCTTCATCTATTGGTATGCATCCTGCAGTCATCCGAGAGAGAGCGTTCCATCGTGAGAGGGCGGGGGTGTGCTCCCCTGGGCGTGATAAATTGCGTCCTGAAGGAATGTCGGCTGAGGGGAAACTCTTCCTTTTAAAAACGTCAGCCAGAGCCCACCAGGCAGTCGGGAGACATCGTCAAAGTCCTCTCCAGCTGTCATCAATACTCGCCGCTCCGAGTCCCCGGTCACTGTCAGACGAGCAACGGCTTGCCTATCATGGACTACTTCTTCGACCCCAGCTCACTCCACCCCCGCAGCCATTCAGCGGGGACCTGGGGCATCGAGCAGGCATTCGTCTGTCGCTGTGGAGAAAAGTTCGACGACGGGTCTGAATTCACGTAAGATACTCACAGGCTATGCAATGTTAAGGCAATAACACCATCAGGGCACATGAAGAAGGACACAATGTCTACACTTGCCTTTCTCCAGGCTGTATGTGCTATTATCAGAACGAGGAGCAACTCGCTCAGCATATCCTCACCCATTTCAATGAGCCCCTACCTTCCCTTGATAGCGGTTTCCCAGATCCAAACCAGTTCCTTTTTTCTCCATACAATTTCAATTATCACATACCAGCAGTATATGCATCTGCCTCACCCGACGATTTTCAATACCGCCTTCCGGTCTTTGCTTGCCAGTTTGAAGGTTGTGAAAGATTTTATGCAACTGCGGAGGATCTCCAAAGCCATACCGACGAGCATACAACGACAGTAAAATGTCTTGAGGACGGTTGCATTTGGCCAGGTGCTCCCGTTGATGAGAGGAGCCGTCTGTGTCGTCACATGTCCAGTAAACATGGCATACATTTACTCCCGCTCCGAGAAATCTTTTTATGCCGACTGACTGGATGTGAGCGACAAGTCTTTCTGAACAGATGGAATCTCAACCGGCACAAGGACGTGCATAGACGCGCGATGGGTGGCGCTGGAATAAGGGCAGAGCCAGAGCCTCAAGCCGATTTCGATTTCCTAGCAGGATTATTCTAATTTCTGTCTGTTCCCTCGGTGGCGGTCAATCTTTTGATAGGATCCTCCTGCAACGACTCTTGTAGTATAGATTGATACTTTTCTGGTGGCAAGGCAATGCAGGAATGGATTTTATTCGTAATACAGTCTCTTTAGTTGCTTACAGATAGACGAGAGCATTACCTCTAAGTATGTTATATTATATCCTAAGCTGTGAATAACTTGACTGTAGTAATTCCCCAGGACTATATTTTAATAGTATTAATATAATTTAACTTAGACTGCTAAAATTTAGGGGTTATATAGATATCTAAGCCTATATTAGTCTATATTTAGTAGGAGATATTATTCTTATTAATATTAAAGTTAGTAATTTTAACTATCATTAGCTTATAGCTATCTATTTTAATAATAATATTTTTAGATTTTAGATTATAGTAAGTAAAATCTTTTTTATAAATATATACTAATCTGTTACTAATATAAGTCAAGAGCTGGTAAATATTCTGAAAATATCTTAATGTACTTATTTTAGCAAAGCTCTGCAGTCTTATCTTTAATATTTATATAAGAGATGTTTCTTAATAGGTTTGTTACTCTCGGATGTTATATAACGGGGGTTACGTCGATAACCAAGTAACTTCAACTTATACTAGACTTATTATCTTGAGCGACTTGAAGATCACAAAGGTCGGTATTACCTGAAGAGCCGAGACAACAGCTCAGATAAGGATCAAATACCCTGCAGCTAGTTCAGATGGCTTCTGTAGGTACTGGGCAGTGCAACCTGAGTGCTCTCGTCCTTATCTTGAAGAATGGTGAATTGCGAATATGGAGGCGACGGCTACAGGGTGGCTGGCTCTGAGATTCGGGATCTACATCTCCATCTGTAACAGTGGGTTTCCGAGGATTGACTAAGCCGCTAGTAAAGGCTTTGCAACTCGCTCTCTTATAATGGGAAACTGGGGGAGACCCTGAATATCTTGCTCCTTCATAAAGCCAAGCTGTATATTTTTAATAGCTATTATCTTATAATATAGTTTATTACTAAACTGGTTTACTACTGGATAGTATTCCATCTGTAGTAACTGGAGCCAGCTTGACAGCTATAGCTACAAACTGCTAGCTCATTATGCAGTAGTCGACAGTAGCTTATCGGTGCCCCGGTGACGTTTTGCTTTCGTTACTCTCGCTGAGGGGCTGTCGAGCACTCTGCCGTTGCTCTGTACTGCAACCCTATCGTTGCGCTTCTTTGGCCACTTGGCGAGTCTGCCCGAACGTTGCTGTGGTTGGGGCTAGATCTGACACACCGGCCCTTGTCAAGAAGTCATCCCGCAACAGCTCAGTCCATTTTTGCTTGTAAAATTCGGCTTCGATCGTCTAGTACGCAGGGTCGGTGATTGTCGCTCGAAGCTGGCCGACTTGGGCCGTCCGAATTAGCCGTATTCTATTCGGCATAGGTAGTCGTAGGATTGAACGCAAAGGTCGTCGGAAAAGGTCGGTTCTGGTGTCGTTTCTTGTTGTTAGCGAACTGCTGCTTCCAACTTGGCCTGTGACTCTGCGGCCGAGGGTGGCAGCACTGGGAATTCGGTAGGTGTCGACATGGGATGGGCTCGTACGACCACCACGTCGATGGAGGCAGGGTATTGCAAATGAAGCGTGGGCAGAGGATACGCCTCCCGTGGTTTCGGCGACAACGGATGGACTTGCGATGCCATGACAAGCCCAATATCCCATGACAACTTCCTTCATGCGCCCGTCACGTGTTACCAAGACGAACTTGCCGTGGTTTACCCGGTGGGATGAATTGCTTCGTGGATGCAATGCGACCGGAGGATGCGACCGACAACAGCCGACATGGCTGATGACGGCGCCGACAGCGGCTTCTTCCCCTTTCCGGGTCATTAGATCAACCATACTATTTCAGAATGTCAACGCGCTTTTGTACCTGTTGAAGCTGGGTTTCGTCCCTCCCATCTCTGATCTCTCCCCCATCTCTCCCGTCTCTCCCGTGTCCCCCGTCCCCCGTCCTCCGTGTCCCGGCTCCGTGTCCCGGCTCGGCGTCTCCTTCGTCTCCTTCGTCTCCTCTGACAACAACTTGGGATCCTAGAGTACACTCCCCGTAGTCAAGAGCCACATCGTCGGCCAGAAGGATCAATATAAACATGTTCGCTGGGATCGAGTGGACCTTGCAGTTGTGTTGAAGGTTCCCGGTGCTCCTACCTAGACAATCCTCACACCTACCTCGTTGGAACCTTCCCTGAAACCCAGCGTCGACAGATACAAAAGCACGGCTCCTCCCTCTAACCTCAGCCCGAATTCCCCAGAACCTCTCAAACATCCCTCATCACCCAGCACTCGTCGTTTTGCATCACCAGCATCACCAGCATCACCAGCAACACCAGCATCACCAGCAACACCAGCATCACCAGCACACCACCATCGCGCGCACCATTTGTGCATCAAGCGTCTCCCTCGTCTCCCCCGTCTCCTCCATCTCCATCACTCCCGTTCCTCCCGTTCCTCCCGTCTCATCCATCTCCTCCGTCTCCCTCTCTCCCTCATCTCTTCCGTCTCTCCCGTCTCCCGTCCCATGCATCTCCTCTGCCTCATGTCTCCCGTCTCTCCCATCTCCAGGTTCCCCCATCTATTTGCTCCGTGCCCCCAGTTACGTGAAAGTTCACGCCAAGAAGATGAAAACATGCTGACTTGATCCAGAAACTGTCTACCGTATTGGTGCACAACAAGTGATGCGTGGCGGACGAGTGATGCGTCTGCGTAACGACTGACTTATGATAGGCAAGTAGTACGGGAAACGGCAGAGGATGAGACGAAATCCAGCTTCGATGGTACAAAAGCCCACTCTTGTCCCGCCTCGTTCCGGAATTCCCCTTCTCACCGGGCATCACCGGCATCACCACAGTCGCTCATGAACTATCATTGAGAACAACAACAAAACCACTGTCGCTACTCAAGCACCATCATTAAGCATCAACAAAACTACCGTCCTTTAGCAACCACCATCATTCGCGACATCGACGCCATCACTGTCGTCAATCCTCCACCATGGAAAGCTGCTGGACTCGAATGTTCTCGTCTTCTTGGCGTGTGTTTCCTACCGACGAAATCCCGTCTCGACGAATGTGCTGGGATTCAGGAGAGCGATTGCAGCTTAATTGTTGGGGTCACGATGACTGGGGATTCCAACCTCGCCGATGGTATGATGCCTCTTTTTGTATTGTCTGTCTTTTATTCTAACAGAGGTTATAGTTGCGGGAGAGACAGGGCAGACGGGGGAGACGGGGCAGACGGGGGAGACGAGGGAGAGAGGGAGACGGAGGAGATGGATGAGACGGGAGACGGGAGGAACGGGAGTGATGGAGGAGATGGAGGAGACGGGAGAGACGGGAGAGACGTGGGACGAAGGACGCGGGACACGAGACACGAGGGAGACGGGACATGGGGGACACGGCGGGGGGGTGAGAGAAGGGAGTTTAGGATTGATCCATCACTTTCATGTCTAATCGTTCAATACATTCTCTTTCTCGCATTATGTGCCTTTCTTTCTAGTAAAGTGTAGAGTAACAGATGCCAGAGCTTCGAACCTCTACAAACCTCCTGATGAACTACTCCAGTCACTACTCCATATGAAAGTCCCGCACCGCCATTCCGACCCCTTCTCCTTCTCGCCAGAAGGCCCAAGAGGCCGCGGGCAGATGTAGAACGACCGCCCTGCGCTCCAAGTCAGCTCCCGTACCACGCGTCAAATCCAGCATCGTGGCGGTATGAGCCACAGACTTACCGCAGTTGACGCCAGGCTTCTTGGTGGTCAGGCTGATGCACGGTTCATGATGTTCGCACCGAGGCGCCACTCGCTTGCTTAGCAGCTTTGACCAAGATTCCTTTGCTTCGATTGGGTCGAACACTCTTTCGGATGTGTCGGCGAAAGGTTTTGCTGAAAGAGTCCCGGATGTCAAAGGCGGAGACTGTTGCTGCCTGAGCAGACCGTTGGAAGATCCGAGCGTGGTCTTCCTTGGTGGCGGAGGCGTTGTGTTTCCCGTGGCCTCCACGTGCGGGTTCTCGGGCTGGGGCGCTGAAGCTTTCGGCTTGAAGAAGCCTTGCAGCGTTCTTTGTCCCGCAGCTGCTTTGTTCTTGGCATCGACGGAATTCGAGGACGGCTTGCTCCTCTTCAAAGCCCCTCTCGGCGCCTTCTCAGCCGTGTCGGCGGGCCGTTTCGCAATCGGCCGAGGGACTGGTAGGTTTTCGGCCGTATCCGTGCTCGCATGCGGGGCTGCTTTCTTTGTGAACATGTCGCGAATGCTCTGTCGACGATCGAATTCTGGTATCAGCCTTGCGGACAGAGGAAGCAAGTCTTTGGGGCTCCAATCACGGAGGCGCTGATCCCCTTGGAACACGCCTGGCGGGTTCAAAAGCTCGAACAGAGCATGCTTCTTGTCCTTCGCTGTCGGTGTGTCTCCTAATGTTGCGAATACTGGGCAGTGATCAGATCCCATCAAGCCTTCTTGAATGTTAGCAGAAGTGAACCAATCCTTGATGCCGTCGCTGCACAAGACATAGTCGATCCGGCTGCCGTTGTTGGCGGGTCGTGTATTCCGTTTGGTGTCCCAGCACGTATTCATTCCTGCTCGCTCGGGGTGGAAACACCGGCACAGGTCCCACAGCACGGGGGTTTCTCTCCCCTCATCCCGTGGCCCTTCCACCGTTCCCTCAAAGATGAGTTGGTTGAACAGTCGACGGGCGGGCATGCTCATCCAATCCGCCGTACTTAGACCCTCTTTTTGCAGCATCTCGGTCACGTTGGTGGAGTCGATGTCAGAACGGATGATGTTCAAATCGCCTGTCAGGATCACTTGCTTGCCCTCGGCGACAAGATTTCTGATCCGTACGTCAAGCGCTTGGAGGAAACCGAGGCGGAACTCGTCGCGGGACTCATCACGGTTGGCCGGGCTGTAGACTCCAAAGAGGACGAAGGCTGGGAACTCTAGAATGACACACCGACCTTCAGAATCGAGAGTCGCTTCATCAATGGTGCCGTCCAGCTGTCCAGGGCGCGGATAGCCGCCGATCCGCTGTTCTTGGGGGAGGTCTCGAAACTTGGTCGTGGATTTTGGCGATGTCAGAACACCAGTCACTCCCTCCTCGGCTCGGATTGGCGCGCATGTCGCATTCCTCGTGTATATGGCAACACCGGAGTACCCTATTTGACCTTGTTAGGTGTGACAACAGACAGGGACGGAGGCTGTACCCTTTTTGTGTTTTGGCAGACTAAAGAACACATCCCAACCAGGCACCAGGACCATGTCATCTCGTAAATCCTTCCTCTGAATCTTGGTTTCTTGCATGATGAGGATATCTGCTTCGAGGATATCGAACATGGCCTGCGAAGGTCGGGTGAGCCTAGCTTTACCCCGGATCTGGAATGGCCTACCTCAAAGGACCGCTTTTCTCTCCATGGTTGGTATCCAAACGGGTTTCTAGGTCAATGAGCTTGGGGAATTCGAAATGATCCCAAAGAAGGGGAAAACGGACCTTATGCCGTTCACTATCATGGCTTGTCAGCGCGTGGTGTTGAAGAGAGCAACGAACATACCGTTCCAGGTGGTGATGCGAAACGCCATTCTGGAGGGAGCTTAACCGCAATCAAACGAAAGAAAAAAAGGGACAGCAGGTATCTCTTCATGGATTCATGGTGCTTGAAATGAGGAGAGCCACGCAAAATTCTAGCGTGAAATTGGAATCGCAGGCGGTATGCCGGTCGAGGAACTCGTCATTGACGAAGCTCGCGTGCCCCACCTCGCGATGCTCCAGTAGTGGTTTCACGCGAAGCCGCGGCGACCGCACGAGGTCACGTGCAATGCGGTCACAGGACTGAAATTTGGGTACCTGACAATTGAGGCACCAGTGATTGGCGGCGGTTCTAGCCGAGCTCGACCAAGAATGACCTGATCACTCAAACTTGTTGCATCCCTCAACCCGTCAACGAACAACGCTGCCCACGATGTCTGCCGTCCGACAGCTCGCCCGTACCGCCCCGCGCTTCGCTGCGCAGCTGCGCGCTCCCGCCCAGCGTCGTCTTGCCAGCACCGCCACCGAGAACGCCTTCGTCAAGGAGCGCCAGCACATCAAGGAGCACGCCGCCGGCACCTCTGGTGAGTGGAATGATGCCTCGGAGCCCAATTGGCGTCATTGGAGGGATTGCTAACCGTGTGAAGACCTCTGGCGAAAGATCTCCGTCTTGTATGTTACCACCTCGTCGTTGAGCGAATTTACGAACCGGGCTTCGATTTCGGGGATCCGGATGGTCCTGAAGGGCGACGTCGGGTGATGGCATTGATCGCGAAGATGCTAACAGATCTGAAGCGGAGTCGCTCCCTGCCTGCTCCTCGCCGGCGCCAACGCCTACTGGCTCTGGAACGAGCACTGGGACCACTGGAACCACATGCCTCCTCTGGAGGAGCGCACCGAGTACTCGTACCAGAACATCCGTTCCAAGAACTACCAGTGGGGCGACGGCGACAAGGTGAGTCGTAATCTCCCATTGACTTGATTCATGTTGCTAACAGTCTTCTAGACCCTTTTGTAAGTTCAGATGTCCAAGCTACGAACTCGACGGACAGGAACGCATGGCCTGCACCCGTCGATACCTCGAGATTGTGGACAATGCTAACCACTCACCACAGCTGGAACGAGAGCGTCAACTACCACAACCCCAACAAGGTTGCCTAAGCTCGGATCTTGTGACCAAGGTCATACGCTAGACATTGATGGACCACTCCTCCGGGAGGCACATTGTACATGTTTCCTAGACTCAAATTGACAGATTATCCCGATGGAATCTCCAGCCGTGATGTGTTGGCTTGATGCGCTTAGCCATGGAGAAGACTGGGATTGTGAAAGGTGGTACTACCCTAACACTTACCGTCTACTTGCTGTCTCCTTGCTACGCGGCCTTTGTGGTGTCACGGTGAATCTACTGGTGAATCTACTATATTGTGAAGTACTGTGCATCAAGCTCTAGTCAATTGCTTGTAGAATTGGCCAGGCCGCACCTGGGACGAGAATGCGACGGCGCTATTCTGAAGCTCTCCCAGAGATAACATCGTCGACACTGTGGCATCCCGCGTAGATCGCGTGACGGTGTTGACTGGGCAAGTACTCGCAAGGCACCGGGCATCCGGGAGGCCAAAACGCGCGGGCTGAAGTCAATCAACATTGACGAATTGGTCACAACCGCCAAACTTCCACCGGCTTCTGCGGAACTCTTTAAATTTATTTACGTAGAAGGGCCTACTCAGCACAAACAACAAGGACCTACAGGAGGGCTGGGATTCACCCCAAGACATCAGCCTTGAAGGCAGGCCAATACGACTCCTCGGACCATCGTTTCAGCTGCTGCAGAGATATGAGGAGCTTGTAGATGCCCTCTTCACTCCGTGTATTGCCAATCTGCAACGGCGGCTTAAAAGTTGTCGCCACACCATCTGCCCCCATCGTCGTGGCTATGAACTCCCAGTCATGCCCCTGGATTATAATTCCTGGTAGAAACTCAATCGACGGCAGCGACTTGTCGCCCCAACGTAGGCTGCGCCACTGGGATGAGTGCCATGTGGCGATTTGAACCAAGGCCGCATCGAATTGATCTCCGAAACGCTTGGTTTCGATTGAGACGGCTATGGGATGCTTTCGCAAGCGACCCCAGTCGGTATGGTTGATTGACTCGCCGGGTCGGATGCGGCGAACCGAATCTATAAGACGTTGGTCCTCCGCGTTTGGTCGAATTGCTAGGCAAAAATCTACCATCTTGCTCGGCGCATCCTTGGGTTTGTACTGCGCGATAAGTGCAGCGCTCAAACTGCACGGCATGAAGTTAGCAGCGGCTAGGGAAATTGGCCAGCCAACTACAGAAACACTCACCAGTATCGATAGTCTAGGACACCGCCGCCAATCGTAGCCGGAGTCGGGTCGCCTCGTAACGCCCAGTTGAGCAATGGCGCGTGCACCTCCATATTCCACGACGATTCTCCCTCCCCATCAATGTCGCAGCCGCTGGCTTGAAGAAGAATATGGCGAACCTGGTCGAGGGTAGGGTATCGGAAGGAGGAAGTCGTTTCTGCGGTATCGTCGAAGGCAAAGGGTGGAATGTCGACGTCGGCAAGCTTCAGGAAGGGAACATATCAGCAGGTGGTTCCAAGACGCGAAGACTGTCTGTGGGCACACACTTCTGCTTGAAGGTGTTTGGGAAGGATCCTCCATCCATCCTGCGTACGCTTGAGTTCTTGACGAAGCGCCAACAGCGATGGTGGCGCCTTGTCCGTCGCAAAGTTGGCCTGACGGAAGCCCGTCTGTTGAAGCTCGGCGTGTAAGAGTTGCTTGGTGGGAGACGAGTTGCGCGACACCTTGGAGGCCTTCGAAGATGATGCGTAGGAGTGCGTCGAGGCGACGCTGCCTTCGTCCACTGCACCCGCGAACCTCGATGGTCGGGGAGTCAAGTCAAGGGCCAAGCTTGGCGCATCCTGGGAATCTCTTGACAATAAAATGGGCGCATTGTCGACCTCGTAGCCAGAGATGGACAGGGAGGGTGTAGCCAAGTGTCGGTATTCGAGGACGTCGTGGTTGTCGCAGAGATTGGTGTCGAATCGCGGCCGCTTTCTGGATGGTTCGGGGACATTGGGATCGTTTTCGCACGGCGGGACAGCGGAGAGCCAGCGAAAGATTCCGGCGGCATTCATCACATGGCGGCTTGCTGTGGTCAGGAGATTAAAGACACCTGAGAAGCGTGGTAGGCGATGGCGATGATTGATATCTGAACAACCAAGGTAAGAATAAATGTGAGACCCAGCGTGAGGGGGGTTGGCCCGGTGATGTTATGTGGGGCGAATGTTGCTATGAAAGTTGCAGCTGGGTTAGGCTGTATTATATAGAACTTGGTAAAATTATATACTTGGTATAAATAGATATTGAAATTTATTGAAATTTAACTATAGCTAAAAAAAAAATATTAAGATATTGAGTCGGGGCTTTCCGGTCTTTGGGGATAAAGGTCATCTGATCGGATGCTTGCAGCCGCTAGGGCTAGGATTGGTGGGTTCCTTCAACAGGAAGTGCTGCCTTGGGTAGGACCGGTAGCCAGACCTACTGGGGCCATAAATTGGGAAGGTCTCGGACAGGACCTTCTGGACGGAACACAAGCATCATCCTCCTAGCATCTCATCATTTTTTCAATTGACAGTCTTTTGACCTATCCTTTGGTGACCTATTGAAGGTCCATTTGATCAAACGGTATCAGCTGAAAAAGCTATCTATTTTGCCCGGCTGTCCGATTTATCCGGACCCCAAACCTGACCCTATCCGACCTTTCCGACACAACACTATCGCGGTCATCACAGCTCTGCCTCTGGGTGGGTTGTGTGTTCTTAGTGTCCTCTGCTCACTCCCTCACTCAATATTATAATTTTTAATTCAGTTTATACAAATGCCGCATCCTCTTCCTCCTTCAACTCCAGCTCGGTAAGGTCCTCAGCGCTCAGCAGTTTAAAGAGCTGCTGGTTGTCCTCTTCCTTGGCCCGTTCGTGGAAAAGCCTAGGGATGTCTGGCTCTCCACTTCCTTGTATACAAGCTTGTATAACCCTCGAAACAGCTCATAGTCCTGCTTAGAGAGCAGACGAACTAGTCGTGAAAAACGCCACATCATATCGGCTTTCTCCCAGTGACCTGAGCGGTGCCGAGATCCTTGGCGAAACCGGACCTGAAGGCAGCAGTGGACCGTTCTGAAGGTGGCATGGCCGAGCTACCTAGAGGCTAGTCCTGGTGTGGCGAGGAGTTCGATAATGGCGTCGGATGATGCAGAGCCCCGGCCAATAATGCGTGTCATGTTAAATCCTCATCAACGAACATGTTGCCAAGATGCATATCAGATGGAAAGAGTAAAAGATTGCGTCTCTTGAAGGAACGAGCCGCCATCTACTCCTTCGAGTGAGTCCCTCGATTGCCAGAGGAGTGTCGGCGAGAAACACTTGCCAACTACATATCCGCCATGGCCATCTTGATTCAGAGATCTGATCTTGTCGAATTGAAGCGTTGACAGTTGCGCCATTATGGCTCCCAGCTGCCTCATAACCTTTTCCCTCTCTTCATCCGACAACGGCAAGAGCCGGCGCAGCAATGGGTATCCCGGTATCTGGCGAGAAATCTGAGCCCCAAGGGACCTCCCTCACTGATCCAATCAACTGACAAGCTTGAGCAGAAGCTTGCGGAACTCGTCAACGTCTGGCTGCAAGCCACGCAGTCGCGTCTCGTCTTCAAACACTTGGTCGACAGTCCTCAAGTCCTCAAGCATGGTCTCAGACCTGGTCGTGCCATTGAGGACCTGCGTCCCGCCCAAACCCAGAATGAGGATATAGAAAGCAAGCTCCTTCTCAACCTTCATCTTTTTGGCCACGGAAGCCAGGAGATTGGAGTCCAGGACCTCTAGGTTGTGCCTGAGCATCCAGAATGCCTGGTAGGTAACGTCGTACTTTGCGCAGAAGTCCCTCACGCCATGGTCGAAATCCATTTCCTTATAGAAGCAATTCTATACTGTAGTCGGCTTCACAGTGGAGTTGGCGTAGATATTCTCCAGCTGCAATAGCTCAACGTTAGAGATGCCGAGGGAGCAGATAGTATTCAGCACAAAGGTCTGGAAGACTTTCCAGGCCGTGAGCATATCATCGTCATCTGAAAAGGGGACATAAAGCAGGAGGGCGTCCAAGTAGTCAACTTGGAGGTGCTCGACGCTCTGCTGGATCGAATCCTTTACCTGGCCCTCCACTCTCTGGTCAGGGTTGAAAGGGATCTTGTCCTTGCCGTGCGCCCAGGCGGGAGTGAATTCGGTCTGGATCTAAGCATCGCACGATAGTCGAGGGGGATATTCGTGGAGGGATCAAGAGCGGAAGACGGCCACGCACGAACAGATGGCTGCGTTTGATGCCGGACCGGATCGCGGCAGCAATCCCATCACCAGTCAACGGCTCGTTGTACGCTGTCGGGTAGTTGGCGGTGTCGACAACAGCGAAGCCGTTCACAACAGCCTTCTCGGTGAGCCCAGCAGTCCTGTCTTCCTTCCAGGCTGTTCCATAGACGAAGAGAGGGGCCTTGGGCGCCATTGCTCGTGTTCAATGCAAAGACTGGCAGTGCAGGCTGTCGGTTGAAGAGGGGTGAGATTGGGGACGAGGATGCCGTCTGGGTCGCCCTTGGCAAAACGCCTACCTACATCCCTAGGTAGATAGGTAGGTACCCAGTTTTGGCTGCAGCTACTGCCTTGACTGCTGCCTAGAGGTAACTTTGTTTAACTGTGGTACATTCCCACAGGCGTCAATTTATGAAGGACAGGCTTCCCGCTTCGCAACTCACACAACATCCTCAAGTCGCCCGAGCTGCTGGTACAGACAGCTCACGCCGTAATAGATCTATACCCAGAGATAGATAGATATTGATAGATATTAAAAGCAGTTTAGAAGTATATCCAGAGAAAAAACATACCGGTTATTCTTATATTACTGCCTTATAATAGAGGAGCAGTTGCTAAAGACATTAAGGCAACCTCTTCCTTTATCTCCTCCCACCTCCTCTATCACTACTTAAGCAGCCAACCAAAACAAAATGATATTACTCACGGCGACTCTGGTTCTTCCTCTTCTTGCAGCAGCATAACAGTTACCTCTTTTGCCTCCTGCTTCGGCCCCTTCGTCGGCCGGCTCGTCGTCCAGTGCATTACGCAACAGGTTGCTCAATATCCTGCCTCAAATCGAAGCTCTCCGGGACATCGGCGGTACGGCCGGTATCTCCATCGGCGTCATGAGCCATGGCCAGGCCGTCTTGGACCATAGCCTGGGCTTTGCCGACGTAGAGCGGCGGATCGTGGCCAACTCTAGCACGACGTGCCCCATAGCATCCCTGACCAAGGCATTCGTCGCCACCACCATTGCCCAGCTCGTCGACGAGGGCCTCCTGAACTAGGACGAGGCCCTGACTACCTACGTGCCAGAGCTTTCGTTTGAACACAACCCGTCTCTAGCGAAGTCATTGAAAGAGTGACCAACATGTCCTAGGGCCAATCGCTCGCCACGAGAGTCCTGGACCGACTCGGCCTCTCGCACGCCACCGTCATCGCCTCCAAGATCCCACCCGATTCGCTCGCCCAGCCGTACATGGTCCTCGACAACTTAACCCCAGTGCGAGTCGGTAAGATAGACCTCGCCGACGGCTGTATCATGACCTCCGGAGGCGGTGTCCGCAGCACCGTCGGTGACCTGCTCACCTGGGGCAACACGTTACTATCGCTCTTCCGTGACGAGGAGCCACCGCTTGCCTCCCTGAACACAGCCCTGTCGGGCCACAGCTTCATCAACAGTACCATAGTGCCAGACGAGATCTACGCCATGGGCTTCGCAAAGGCCACGACCCCAGCGCAGTTTGGCAAGGTGGGCTTTAATGCCAGCCTCGTCGACACCATACCCGTCATCGGAGGTTCTTCAATGCCAGAGCAGGAACTCTATCACAGTAGCGCCGGAGCTGGCTACAACCACTGCTTCATGCTGGTCCCAGGGTCTCAGTCTGTCGTTGTCGTCCTCACGAACTTCGTCTCTCAGGAAGACATTGCGGACTGGGTCGCCCAGTCCCTCCTTCAGGCTGTCCTCGACGAGAGGCAACCCTTGGACCTGAGGCCATTCGCCGAGCAGGCTGCCGCAAAGTGGCGAGGTACCTACAAGAGAATTGCCGATGTCCTCAGGCCGGACTCGGAGCAGCCCTCTCACAAGTCCCTTGAGGGGAGGTACTGGCACAAGACTCGCGCGTTTTACATCGAGGCATTCCAGAAGGATGGCGTGCTGAAGTTCAACCTCAACCAAAGGACAGATCAGGAGCACGTTCTATCGCACTACAGCGACGACACGTTCCTCTTTCTGCCGTCGGCCGAGGAGCGGCTTCGCAGCAGCTTGTTTCACTTTGACGCTCCAGCATGGCTGCTACACTTCAAAAGGGACAACCGTGGCAGGTTTTCGGAGGTACAGTGGAACATTGACACTCAATCACCTTTTCCAGAGAGGTTTATAAGAGAAGAGTCTTAATCCCGCCGGCTTGATATATAGCGGCGTTGATAAAGTTAGGCCTTACTGGATTAGAGGTATAGAATATTAGAACTTTAAGATATTATATATAAAATAAAAAAACGTGTAAGCTTAAGTTATTAAAGAATTATTAATTTTTAAATTTATTAAATATAATGGATTAACCATTATACGTGCTCTGGAGGCTGAGAAAAGTGGGGCCCGCGTCCTGATGCAGGTCGCGGCCAGAAGAAAGGATTCGACGCTCACGTAATCTAACAAGGGGTCGCTTGATTAAACAACGACAACAATCGAAACTCAACAACCCATCGCCACGCATGTCGATGGTGTCGGTGATCATCGTTTCTCCCGCGATACTATCGGCATCCGGTCCATGCTGAATGCCATGCTCAGAGCACAGGTCCATCAGCGAATGATTGCAACATGTCAACTCCCGTCTCCCAACGCGCAAGAGCCTCGCATTGTACTGCCGCTTTTGTTATTCCACCAGACGTAAGCGCCCCCGCACCATGCCTTGATTCAGTAGACGCATCTGACGAATAGACCGGCAGCTCCTAGCCGCGGTACCCAGTGTCTCTTCTCCTCTCGTTCGTCTGCCATCCGAGCTGCTCCTTCACCTCTTCTCGCACACGATCGATCCCTTGGATCAGCTCTGCCTGGCACTTACCTGCAGACGTCTTCTCCAAGTTTCTTCATGTCTCAGTATGAAGATACCCTCCGTGGCGAAGCACAGATACCTAAACTTGCCGTCCTGTTGTCGGATACTCCCATTACTAAGAAGGCTGGCCCCTGTAGATACGCGTGGGAGGCCAAGTCGAATATTGGCTCTCTGTTGCGATTGTTTGTGGTATCGACCTACCAGGAAGAGTTACTGGATAAAGGATGGCAACCGATACGTTCTTATGGAACCAGGTAGATATGCGCAAGAGGTTTGGGACAACAAAGTATCGATATGGACGTCCAGGTTCTCGTTTCAATGCCCGGCATGTTGGCTCAAAGAGAGAATGGTGATACTGGAGCGGGCAGGCCAACTTCAGCAGCCTATATCGTGAACTATTTCGTTTTATCACCGACTACTGGCACCTTGGGGGTTCGCGATGAAGCCGGGTGGGTTTATTCCCTTTAGGTTTATGAACCCTATCGTTAGTTGTAGTGAGGTTCGGCGATAGAGTCTTACCCGTGCCGCGGACTAGTCGTCGTGGAAACGACCCGAGGTAGACGATGTCGTCTCTGGATCCTTCGACGGTATAAGACTCCCCCGCTCGCAGTGCGTGCAGAGTGCCTCGCTGTTTATATAAAGATGCTATAGACACTTGCTGCCAGACTTATTTTTTTCATCATTTCTGATCACTCACAGAAGCAACAACAAGCTCACTAAGCCAGCAAGTTATTTCAAGTTGATCTCTGGGTGAACTGCACATCGCAAAACTCAACAGGCTGGTTTATTAGCCGATATTGCTGCTCGACGAACCCGAACAGATTCCATACATTATCTTATCGGACTCATATCGACTCTTCTCTCCTCGAAATCGAAACAATGGCGAACGAGACTTGCGGCCAATGCAGTGGATCTGGTATGGGCAGTAGTGAGGGGGCCTGCTTTGGCTGTGGTGGATCTGGACCTGTTCCCAAGAAGTAATCTGGAGCCAACTTGTTACAAGCTCTTTATTTTGAACCATATGGGAGTATCTTGGCGGCGTCGACATACCCAGAAACTTGACCGGCTTGGCGATAAGACCGGGGGTGGCGTCTTCACTTCGTCTCTCTGTCGAATATCACACGGTGTTTTCAAGACTCAAATTTCGTTGTCACATAGCTCACGAGACGAAGTTACACTTTCCAGAGTTTCAATGGGCTGATGCCACAAATCGAGTGTATAGTAGATCTATTTAAGGACTCTCACAGACGAAGATCAATAGTTTTACAGGGGCAGAGTTTACTGGCTTTAGTAGCGATAGTGTACAAGGGGGGAACGCTTCTTGTGCCGCCCTGAAGCTGGCCGGGCGTCTGCGTGTACGTTCGTAAGGAAACCGAGGGTGTAGTGGGTTTGTTCGTGCCCGTCATCTATAAGACTTCATGACCCGCAGAGTCTCAAGACATATTCGTACACACCGAGAGTGATAACGGCTGAAGGGATTGAGCGGACAAGATGCGGTGTCAGGCCCCCGTACAAACCACCGAGTCGCTCAGATCTCCAAACCGATTGAAAGCAGTGAACAAGACCTGTATATCTTGGCTTGCCGTTCTCTCGCGGGACTTGGCGTAATCAAGTTCTCACAACCTATGACATGTTAGCTTGGGTATAAGAAACAGGAGTTCCCGTACCTCATGGGGATATGTGATCAAGACTGCGGCCACTTTCGCCGATCCGGCGGCTCCACTGGTGCTCATCCAAGTCTCAAGCTCTCCCAATGACGAGACGTTCCTAATTTTCGCTTTGTGAAGAGGCTTGCTACAAAACTCTCTTAGGCCCACCAATTCCATTCCCCGTCAACAGGCATAAGATAAGGCATAAGCAGCCTACTCCCCTTTGACTAGGATCGCAATATGCAGTCTACTTCTCATTGAGGCTAAAATCACAATATGCAGCCCACTTCCTGTTTAGGATCATATCACAAGATGAAACCCACTTCCTGTTTAGGTTGAGGTTCTTGCTATCAGGACTCTAAATGTGCAAACTTTTCTTTTGGTAAAATTCGAGGTGGCCTGATCGGCTTCGTCCAGACCACACTGAGACAAAGAGGGGAAGCCCCGTCGTTCCATCTCCCAAACGAGTTCCCCTAGCCCCCGAGTTTTAATGCTCTGTGTGTCTCTAGCCACTGTTAGCTTTATACAGCACCTACGTGTGAAATTCCCGATCGCCAGGTCACGATTGGGTACTCTCGGCTGGTATCGGCATTGCTTCGATAATGACACACAGTAGTCTAATGCTAATTTTCACCTTTTCCGACGCGGGTGAATGGTTGGTGGTGGATGTCAAATCGTAAGGCGAGGAATTTCCACTAGCGAAGATATCCATGCGCTCAAGTGGGACAAGATGACTTGGGCGACAAGACGCAAGCGAGGCGGCGGACCAGAAACCCACGTATACCAGATGATGAGCTTCTGGTTTGACCGCCGTAACCAGGCCGCCATCCTCTTGAGGGACATGTTCAAACTTCACGGACCGCTGTTGTACCTGGTTCGTGGCTGTCATGACGGTCGAGCAACACAGTCCGACGCGGACGTGCTGATCAGGGTTGCACGGGCGCGTGCGAGGCACACCTTTGCGATATACCAGAGGATTGATTGGCATATGGTGCAAGGTGTGTCGAATATGGTGAGGCTTCCTATTTTGTTGTCCTCAAATTTAATGAGGTCATGCATATCCACGGAGCGGAAGAGAAGTTGATGCTTCGTATCCGTGAGGGCGACGGGTGGGCGCCGGATACTTCTAGTGTTCATGTGGGATCCTTTCCTTGCCGGGAAGGTAGTGATTTCCGCCAATGGTTTGCGGAAAATCTTAGGTTTATAGAGGAGCATTCTCCGACATTCGGTGAATAGATAGAACCGGAAGCCGTGAGTCAGAGGTAGTGCCTTAGTTCGATAGCATCCAGTGCTTGTGGATTTATTACGATATGTAGTCGTTGCACCTCCTGGTGTCAGATTTGTCGTCAGCGAGGATACGGGGTCTATGTAGTAGGTAGGGCACCCACATGTTGTCACACCTCAACACCAAGAAGACCTGATACCCGCGATCACGAAATAACCTTAATTTCGCTCTCGTAATCTAGGATTAACTAGAATTCGTCACATAGATTCGCAAAGCGAATCTTCTGAGTACTAACTTCCTCTGTGAATTGCCTCCTAAGCTTCCTAACATGCTCACGTGTGTTCCTTAGAGCCCTGGTGTTAACGAACCTCTCGTTATTGCTCGGCTTCACCTTCTTCTTCTTCTTAGGTCGAAAGTGGTCAACTTGAGTCTTTAAGACCTATATTTGCTGCTCTTGTTCCGCAATCTTAGCTAGGTGCTTATCCAGGGCCTTGTTGACCTTCCGGAAGAGAAGTCTTGCTATAGATCTAATCTCTTCCTGATCCGCGATAAATTCAATCGCCGTACGGACCTCGAGACTGCGAAAAGGCGTCAAAGTCACGTTATTAATTGTCGCCGGCTACTTCCTCTTGGCGGAAGGCGTGTTAAATATGTTGCTTTCTCGCTGTCGCCGGCGCGCAACGAACTATGGGTTCATAAGGGGCTTTGCCATAATAACTGGCCATATTTCTGACGATTTCTAACCCGCTCGAATAGTCTCAGGCTTCACACCTTCCTTCCGTGCCTTGAAATAGCATTTTAGGAAGTATGCCTTGCCTAGGGCTGAATTATCCGTGATTTAGATGAGTCTTTGCACTTCCTTGCGATATCCCTTCTTAAGCACCACAAAGACTATTAAATCAAGCGGTTAAAGAAGATAAGAGCAGTGTAATGGTAGATAAATAATGTATATAGCATTGATATAGCATTGCCACATAAAATCGAGGCTCTTGTGACTTCCGTGGCCGTCAATAATAAGCAGCCGCATCTGCGGCTCTGCTGGCTTTGTCTGGGGAATGAAGATATTCTTAAGCCACTCTAAGGCGATCTCTTCAGAAGTCCAACCCTTCTCAGAGGCAGTGAAGTGCTAATAATTGAAATTATCGAGGTCGTCTGGAAACTATTGGTATTATACAGTTATTCCTTTAAAGATAATGAGTAGCGCGTAAGGCGATACCTGAGGCGTTCACGGCTTCAAGGATTAAGGACAATGTACGCCCCCCAGGGACTTGAAAAGCAGTAAAATTGCTATCCTACGATCCAAGAACGAGGTTACTATCTCCTTTCTCTTCCGTAGTGCGTATCTTATCTATATTATAGCGGTATTAGGGGGGAATCCTCCTGATCACGGGCAAAGCGAGTCAGGTGAAGCAATCCTAGATTTTCTCAGTCGAGGCTCCTTCTAGACGGTAGAATCAATGCTCTTGCCTCTTACGGTCGTCACAACCGGGTTTCTTCGTAAAAAGCCATCAATCCAGTTCTTGCTGATCGGTGCAGTGTCTCCTTGGTTATTGACGATGCGCTGAGCGAATTCCGTAAGCTGGTTATGCGTCCGGGCGACCCCTAGGGCTAGCTGGACAAGAACCCAGTCGGCGAGGTGTGCTTCTTAAGTCGGTGAGAGGCGCTTGGGTATGCCAATGTGCCTTATTCTTGGGCTCGCGGCCATTGAGACGGCCGATGAGGGTTGTGCGTGGAACATCCCAATCTTTGGCTCTCTTTGCATTTCCTGTTGCAATCGCTTAGTCAATAGCTTGTTCAAGCTGATATTCTGTATATTTCGGCATCGTAAAATCGTAATCTAAACCCAGAATTAAAATTGAGGGTTTGGATCGCGCGATATTGCAGAGTGTTGATTTGTGAAAATGGTTATGTTCACGGGAAAATTCTGTTGCGCGGTGTGGCCAGATGTGGGCACCCCCCACATGTGAGTGCCCTATGTTACAGGCTAGGCAGCTTGATTGGACGTTGCGTTTGACCTGATTGACATCGCGATTGATGTGTTCCTCTGTAATTCGAGGCTTTTGTAGGTCACGCTCGTCTCCTGGCTGGTAACGCTGCGTTGCCTGACTGTCATGGCCGTAGGCGTTGAATAATTCGTTATAAATGCGTTCTCGCCATTCCCTGTGATTCGTATATCTCTTCCAATTTGGCTGTGGCCCGCAAAGCTAAGCAACATAGCTGTTGACAAGGGCCACTTCAACGACGAAGGTCCAGGCAAGTGTCTGCCAAGCACCACGGCGTAGGGGATGATCATATGTATAATATGACCTCAATTGGTCACCACGGTCAACGTGATTCATCTCGTCGTTATGCTCAGCAGCCACTCTCGGGATGTTAATCATCTCGACAGCTTTGTCACCCAAAAAGCGCTGTATTGGTTTGGCCTCTGACTTCCCTGATGACGGCCTCTTCCTCTGCCGTATGACATGCTCATCGTCGGCACCGGTGAACACGGTGGTCAAGAATAATACAAGCTTGTTGTCTTTCCATGCGATTTGGTTGACCTAGGGATATAGCACGAAGACGAATTAGTAGGGATTTCTCAGCCAAAAGTGTCTGAAGTCAGTACCTAATTGTCCGTTCTGATGAATGCATTTTGGGAACTTGATTCTATATGAGCCGCGCGGATAAAGGACACCCTTTTGGTGACCACGACTGCATAAATGTGAAACCGCTACTGGGATATGTCATAGATTTCATTGGACGGGTGGGCGGCTAATGGAACAATGGTCTACTTGTACGTAGCGTCGCTAGACCGAGCAGCTAGAGAAGCGCGCAAGTTTCGACCTGTTTTCTTGACCCGCACGGAGAAAGCGGTCACACACGCCGCACTTTGCCTACTTGGTGGGGCCTCAAACCGGCATCCCCCGTGAGGAGTTCTGTTGAATTGGAGGCATGGAACACCAGGGTGAGGAATAGGGGGCCCGTCGGGACTGTTTCGGGCAGGGCTCGCTGAGCTCTCGGCCAGATAGGCTGCATTAGGAAGCAAGGGGAACCTAGACCCCCTTGACCTGGAGGGGTGGAAGCTACACTGAACAGTTACGCAATACACACACATGTTCAAGGTCATCAATTGGTCATACAAGCTATCCAACAGATGGTCCCAGATGAGGTCAGGGGTCAGGGTGCTGGGTCGTCACAATCCACATTATTAGGGCAGCCGTGGTCGGCGGACCCCGCTATCATGGGCCGCCTCGAGCAGGCATGAGGCCATCATCAAGCTTACTACTGATGATTCGGAAAATATGACTTGGGAAATGGTGCAGTGTTCTGCACCCGCTTTGTGTTTATCTCGTTCACTCGAGCATACCTAGGGTCTCCTAGATCTGCCGGATCATTTCGTCCCTACGAGCTCGTCATGTCCAGGACGCCCCATATTGCCATGATTCCGTTGCTGGAAATTGAAACACGCGTAGTTACCACATGAAGTCCGGATGTTTGCATTTCCACAGCAGATCCCGTTTTGCGACGAAAAATGATACGAAGGCTCCAGAGCCCGGAGACCAAGCCCGTTTAGTAAGGTGCTTCCCGCCCGCATCGTTTCAGGTGTAGGAAGCTAGCAACCAACATGCATATTTGTGTACGACGAACCAACAAATCATTGATAATGGATACTATAGCAAACTGTAGGTCTGTTGGTGATGGCCATCCGATGAAACTGCATCCTGTGGATCTGTCTCAAAGGAGTTAGCTTGCAAATTAGGAATGACGGCCGGCGGTAACTCCAAGGGAGGGTCGCGCAAGAGCCCGCCTTCAAACCTGGGAGTTGGCACCTTTATATTAAGGTCAGCCGAGTTTTACTCCATTCTCTTCACCTACCTCCAATCAATCTCATTGTTTGTCTTCAGTCTCACCATCTACCGCAATCGCATTGTTTTGCATGCTTTAGTTCTCCTCATCTGTCTTCATTCTCCTTGTTTATCCTCACTCGTAGCATCTGTCTTCATTCATCAGCTGCATATCCCCATACTGCATCATTCACGTCTGCATCTCCTCGACAGAATGGCGTCTCATGCCCTCAAACGCCCGGCTCTAGGGCAAGTTGCCACCCTAGGAAGTCTCTACGATGCTCGCAGCGACGCCTTCCTCCCATTGTCCCTGTTCGACGAACCTCTTCGTTCCGATGCCGTGGAGACCACCCAACACCAGTCGCCCGCCATCAAAGTCATCAATGGGGACACCTTCACAGAGAAGTTCGATGCATGTGGCATCGATGGCGAACTAGGTGTCAGCGTCCTAGCTGGACTTGCCAAGGTCGAGGGATCTGGCCTCTACTTGTTCGACAAGCGCGACACGAACCATTCTGTGCAATTTTCTCTACGCTACGATTTCACGACTGTAGAAGAGAAGCTCAATCTCACTCCCAGTGGTATTAAGGAATGCGTCGCGCTCAACGTTTTGGACACTGATGTCGCTACTCACGTCGTGACTGGTGTTTGTTGGGGTGCCCGCTACGTGTTCACCGCTAAGCGACAACTTGATCCCTCTGAAGACAGACGCGAGGTTTCTAGCAACCTAGAGGCACAGATTTCTTTGCTCGAGACGGCAGGACTGTCACGAGTCGAAGATGTGGCCCATACTCATCCTGAAAACTCTGCCGAACTAGCCGTATTCGGAGACAACCTCGCCAACGTTCCCTTCCTGACCGACTTCGCCGACGCCCAGAACGTCATCGAGAACATACCTGGCGATATCGCCAGAGCTGGCGACGGAAAGGGCCAACCACTGGTCTACGCCCTAATGCCACTCTCTCTGCTCGCCGAGTTTCGGATACTGGACATCAAGGCCGACATCACCTACCGTCAGCTGGGGGCTGACTGCGCCCAAAGATGTGTGCAGCTATTTGACGATATCCGAGACGCAATCCAACGACTCAGCGACTATTTCGCTCGACTGCAGACTCATCCAGCCTGTGTTCCGCCTGAACATATTGACTCCATTGCACAACTTCTCGCTAGGATCAAAACTCTGGAAGTCATACCAGAGGCTGACTTCGCGAGCCTGGTTAAGGACGTTCGAAGCGGCAAGGCGAGTGACCAGCAACTTTGGACTCGGCTCACAGAATTCATTGGAGATAACTCGCCTCACAATATTCTGTCTGCTATGGCATACGAAGAGAAAATGGATTTCCAAGATCTTCTCAAACATGAGGGAGCACACCTCGTCGGCTACAAGGGCCCGTCAGTATCCGCCTTGTTGCACGGGAATCAGTATGACGACGCGTTTGTCTTTTACTTCAACGAACATGTCCGTCATCATTCCGACGTGTGGGAGGAGAATCTTGCAGCATTCCGAGACATACTTCAAGATCAGTCTCACCACAAACTCGCTATCGCTGTCGATCAGGACGCGGTTGACCACGGTGCTCACGGCACTTCCCTGAAGAAGCCCTACATCTCACATTTGCGGAGAGGGCGAGTCATCAGCGAAGACGTTGTAGAGAAACGCAAGGTCCTGGCCGCCAACTGTGTGATGCGCGTTGCCGAGGACGCGCTAGATCGCTCCGTGAACGGCAAACCTCTCGACAGAAGAGCCGTGAAGATTCCCTGTCCACACTACGGCTGCGACCAGAAGCTGCAATGCAACTGGATCTGTGGCTCTTGCCAGTCGGCAGTCGAGTACGGTGTTGTTGATGACTTTCTCTACTGTGATTGCGGAGCGAGCATCTACTACAAGTGGGAGTTTCAGTGCAACGATCCGAAACACGGCTCAGGCTGGGATCAGTATGAGCGTGGCGAGCTTCTTCGGAAGCTGAAGGCGCTAGAGCCGTTCGAGGATCTCAACATCTTGATCCTGGGCGAGACAGGAGTTGGGAAATCGACATGGATCAACGCATTTATCAACTATCTCTCGTACGAATCAATCGGCGACGCATTGGACGCCGAGGACTTCAAATGGGTCATTCCTTGCTCCTTTCAGACACAAACCGCCGTTGACGGCAAATTCGTCGAAACGGAAATCAAGATTGGCTCGAGTCAGTCAGAAAAGGATGGTTCTGGAGGTCAATCGGCCACGCAGTCGACCGAAGTGTATACTGTTAATATCGGCAAGACGCGCGTCCGGCTTATCGACACGCCTGGAATTGGAGATACTCGTGGTGTTGATCAGGATAATTCTAATATGAACGACATCTTGACGGTCTTGCGGACTTACAACAACCTTCACGGAGTTCTCATCCTCTTGAAACCAAATGCCGCTCGACTGACCGTCATGTTTCGATTCTGCATCAAACAGCTGTTGACACACCTCCATCGCAACGCGGCCAACAACATTGTATTTGGATTCACAAACACCCGCGGCTCCAATTATAAGCCTGGCGATACCTTCAAGCCCTTGAATACCCTTCTATCCGAGTACAAAGACGTCAACATAGGTTTATTCGAGAACAACGTGTACTGCTTCGACTCGGAAAGCTTCCGATACCTTGCCGCCCAAAAGAAAGGTATTGACGTTGGCCACTTGGAAGACAACCGTCGCAGCTGGGAATACTCGGTCGGGGAGTGCGAGCGGCTCGTTAAGCACTGCCAAGGCATCACTCCTCATCAAGTGCGCAGCACCATTAACCTCAACGAAACTCGGAACACGATTCACCGACTCACAGAGCCAATGGCCTTCATTGCTGAGAAGATCAGAGCGAGCATCGACGTGAACAATGATGCCATCAAGGAGCTTCGGGACTTCGAACTCACGCGGCGAGAACTTCAGCAGCGCCTCTTCATCCAGAAGGAGACTCTAAAGTCCGAAAAGGTAGAAACCCCGCAAACAGTCTGTACGCACGACGATTGTGTCGAGATTCGCACCGATTTCGAAGGCAAAACAGAGACTGCCACAACCATCTACAAGACCGTTTGTCACCAAGGCTGCTACTTGAGCAGCGTCGATCGCAACAAGAAAGGTCACCCTGAATTGCAAAAATGCCTCGCGATGAATGAAGCCGGCATGTGCGAATGTGGTCACTCTTGGATGGACCATATGCACATCTACTACAAGTATGTGCCAACGACGTACCAGC